TTTTATCCGCTTTCCTTCAAAAGCTTTCATGTCAATCTCAACTCAACAACACTGTTAAAGTTCATTTTGCCTTGACTTGTTTTCTTTTGACTAATGTTATCTTAGCAATTACTCCTTAATTATATGCTTATTACTTGTTCTAGCTAAATGATGTTTAGTGTACGTACAAACAGGACTATAAATGCTGTAACATAGTCTCCACCGCCTTTAAAATCAATAAATAACTTGGTCTCATATACATAATCGTTTAAAATAAAAGATTATATACAAATTTACTTGATGTTCATTAATTACCTAAGTTGATCTATACGGTCACTTCACAGCTACTTGGATTGAACTTGAGATGGGTTGAGCGAGCCATTTGCATATATTTAGTCACATTATTTTGACCCCATATAGAGCCCAAATGTTCTTGAGATTTTAATTAATTAAGGACGATTGAAATATTTAGCACCTTTCTTTGACCACGGGCGTGTATAAAGCAATTGACGTTTAAATCACCCCAAAAGTTTTAAGAATCTGTAGTTTAATTTATAAAAAACTTACCTTCATTATTTTAATTCATGTGATAGTATATTATCAATTAATTGCGAAATGTTGCCACAGTCGCTTGATTTGCTTCCAGGGGAAAAGTCCAAGTGATCAACCATTTTGGGTCATATATTCATTGTTGGTTGAAAATACCCACAATTTGCGATGTAGAATCAGTGAAGCATAAAAATAAGCTTAAATTAAAGTATAAAAAAGATGGGGTAGCTATTCCATTAATGAAAAGACGACCAAAGAAAAGTGCTCCAGTTGATGGGTGAAGAACTTGGTGCATGACTGCATGTGCAATTTGATGTAGGGATTGACGTAGCTAGGTCTTCCAAAAGGAACTATAACCATCTACAGTAGAATGTAGACCTTTCTTTTCTTCCTTTTACCATTAACAATTTGGCAAGTTGGGGTCCCAGCGCGCACATATTTTCTTAACACCCAAGGATCTTATTTGTGGGTTTAGTGGGACAATGGATAAATAATGCCATGCTTTATACGAAGAAGAGACTTCATGGTGAAATTAAGACATTATATAATGTTAATTATTTCCCTCCTCATGGAGAACCAATCCTATATTCTCGAGTCCATCTTAAAAATAACACTCACTTTTTAGGATATTTTTTAAAAATTATAAATATATTAGAAAAATTCATTAATTTAAAAGTAGAAATGAGGGAGATTTACATTAAATTTTTTTAAATAATCTATGCGATTGCTTAGTTTTCTCCATGTCAAGTCAATTATATTTTTTGAAATTAGTCAAATAATGAATCGTGAACTTGTTAATTTCTAATATTATAAGCAGTGTAGTCAACATTTTAAAAGATTGAGAGTGAAATCATTACATTATCCAAAATATTTAAACTTTTTATATTTTTAACTATCGTTAGACTTCTTTTTTAATTATTATAAATGTTACATTATCCAAAAATGCACAATATTAAAAATCTACTACGACTGCCTTTAGGACTAATACTAAGTAGACAGATGAGTTATCAAAATAAACATTTTTTACTTTTTAAGTATTATATCTCTTTGAATTCAAACTAATGCTTGAAAGATGAGTGTTAGCAATTATTTAAATGCATATATGTGCCAAAGGAATTGAATTTACACGAAAATAAAAACATAATTTGACTTAATTGGTGAAAAGTAGGACTGCGGATACAAGTAAGTTTGAAACTCAAACAGTGCCTTCCCCAAAAATAACCGGTCAACGGAAGGAGGGATTATGCGGTGAAGGGTGCAAGCCACAATAGATCGCTGAATCTTACAATTCAATAATTCATAGCTTACATTACAAGCAAGTTTACTTAAATATATTGATGTGAATGTGTATCAAGTATATATACTTTTTATTTAACAAAGAAAAATACATTTCAATCTTGTAATCCATATATAATTAATTTTAATTAAAGATTATTTAAAATTTATATCTTCATATGTAATATTTAAGTCTGTTTTGAATATAAAAAAAAATTAATGGAAGATAATGTGGGAAAGAACAAAATATATACCATATCACTTAAAAAATTCATACTATTGATATAAATTAACCTTCATCATACAGCATTTTATTTGTTATTCATATAACACTCTAATATGCATTAAAACAGTTATTTCAATGATACATCTTACACACATATTTATGATGAATGATGTATCAAGAATAAGAGAAATAGTGATAGGATACAAGATAAGTGTAGAGAAAGTAAACTGTGAAGAAATCATGGTTTGTTTGTGTACATGCCGATACATGATACTTCTATTCTAGGAATAAATTTTGTCAATTTTTTTAGTTTAATGATATTTTAAAAATATTAACTTTTATAAATCTATTTGTTAAATTAAATTTTTTATTGAATATATCAAAATTACAAAATTTTATATAATTTTAAAAAAATTATCTAACTTTGACTTTATTTTAATAAATACTATGTTTATTTTCAAAAAAATACAAATAAAATAAATGTCATAGATAAAATGACGTATACGAATGTGGATTTATTTTAAAACTTGCGTATATAATTATCAAGCCAATTTTGAATAATTAGTAACTAAATTTATATTTTACAAAAAAAAAATGTTATTAAAACTTACTCGTAAAACTAATAAAATAAATGCTTGATTTTAATTTTGGTCTCTATACATGTGTATAAATATTATTGTCATAATTTTAATTATTCACATTTAATTATTTAAAATTTTAAAATTTAATTTAAATCCTTCAGTTTAAAATTAAATTTTTTATTATATTTATTATCATTATTTATTTGTATAAAATAATAAAATATTATATATATCTATATATATATATGTTTTGCAGTTTAAGAAATTAATTAATTTTAAAAATACTCATGATATTAAATGGTGCAGTTGGTAACTTGCATAAAAAATAATCTATTCAGTAAACATATATTTAATAATAAAAAAGAGTATAAAAAATTCAATATTTAATATATCTAAAAATTATCTTACAATTTTTATAATTAGAAAAAAAAACCTTCATTTTGTTGGTTACGAAGTTACTCACCATTTTATTTGAGAATTTAGTTAGAATGTAAATTATTTAAAATTTAAAGATAAAAAACAAATTATTGATAACTGACCTTTTGAAACTAAAATTTGCTCTAAATAATATTTTTAAAGTTATGAATTTTAATTTTATATTCAGCAAATAACTCTACTCCTAAATGAATTACAAGCTATATATATTTTAAATGAATTACTAAGTTATATTAAATGAAATATTTTTCAACATTTATTCATTCAAAACATATTCTTTACAGCGGTTTAATTTACTTAATTAAGAAACGACACGTTAATTTTAATTTTAATTAAATGTTGATAATAAATGCGTATATTTTTAGAATCATGTAGATTTTCCTTGTAAAAGATATTGGCGCATTTTGTTAGAAATTAAATTGGATTTGGCAATAGTATAGCGGAGTCATAAATCATGGCATCGCGACAGCTGTAGAGCACAGAGCATTATCCATGCACTAAACCTGTCATATTAATTAGTGACAACCTAATATAGCATGTAATTTACCAAACTTGGTGACCTCGTTCTCACAACTACTGAGCTAACCCAAATAGAATGCTGAAACCAAAACAGGGACATAGAATGGTCACCATAATCGGGTGTGTAAGTGGAGTACATGGTGAGTCGTCACATTGGGCAATTTCACTGCAGTACGATTCATATGCAGCACCTTTGGAGGATGCATGTACGTTATTCTGCCACTCATCATTAAAGTTAAAATCAAGTGAATTCGGCCAGGCTCTCTCACCCTCCCTGCATTTCCACTGTGTGCATGCACAAGAGATGGGGCTAAGCTAAGCTATGCTATGCTCGTTTCGTTTGTCAATCATGACAAAGCCAAATTTGATCTTACTTTAATTTGTTTGTATTGTTATTATTACTGTACCAGCACAGGCTTGTTACAGCTGTAAACAATTCCTTCTCACCCACTCCCCCTCGTTTTGTTGGGTCCGCCAATGCCTATAATTTCTATGCCATATTAGTATATTGTACGCATTGCGTGCTTCTCCACCACTCCCTCACACTTTGGGTACCCACATTTTTCATACACAATCGTGACATTTCATTTCATTGCCTACATCAACCATCATTCCGTCCTCCCTTCAACGTTCACTCCTTTGTATCATCTATATATTGCTCAACCAAATTATTGTTTAATTATACCCTACAAAGTATAATAGCCTCAACTGTCAAACATGCTCCAATTGGATCTGAGAAGTCCAAAACGGGGAAAGAACATTTTAGATGCGTAAAATTATATATATTTCTTTGTCCCATCTCTTTGGCGTTTAACCTTTTAACAAATGCTTCAAGATAAGGATAACGTTACGTTCGTCAACCCTTTCTTTCTATCATATAATAGCTTTCTTACATCCGAAATCTATTCCGTCGTTTATTTCACCTCATTCGCTCGTCCATCCCATCCCATCCCAAAATCCATTTCGTCGTTTTTTAACTTCACCTCATGCTTGGTTTCTGTTTTTTACATTGTCTTCTACTTACATTTGTCGCAACACGATCGACTGAACTTTATCTTAATTTCCCCTCACGTATCTTTCACATCAAGTTATGTTCAATTTATAATTCTATTATAATAACGAACCCAAGTATCTTAATTCCGTCATCAGCAATTAACTATTGCTGCTATATGTTTTGACGTCTTAAAAATGAAAAGCTCTAATAAAAGATTTTGCGGTCAAAACTTAATAGTGGAATAGAGAGTTATAAAAGGAAGACAGAAAGGAACGGAATATTCCAATACGACTCGGTCTAAGTCTCCAAGAATCTAATCGGTTCAATTGTTGCCTGAAACAGCTCTACATTGTTCAAAATTTTATATTATATATTTTTTTTAAAAATTGTGTATATACAAGAAAACAAAATCACCGGCGCATATTTTCTTCCGAAACTAACCCTACTCCGGTATAGAACTCAACAACGCCGAAAACTTCCCCCTACCGCCGCCGCCGCCAGTGGTCCTTACTCTCCCCGACCTATGTACAGTGCCGCCGCCAACGGAGACTGCCGGAGAGACACGCTTAGAGTCATAATCGGCGGAGAACAAAATCTGTTTCCGGCGATAACCGCATTTGTCGGCGGCGGCGCTCTTCATGAGCGCGGAGCTGGCCTTGACGGCCAATGCGGCCATCTCCTGAGCCTGCAAGGGGTGCCTCAACCAACTCAACGGAAGAGCAAAATAGAGCTGACCGGGTTGCAAAACTTGGTCCTCGTCGATGGCCGTAACGACGTCGTCGAAGTCCATTTCGTCGGAGTTGCAAATGAAACAGGCGGGGTACTTCTGCAACACGTACGAAACCTTGACCGGATAGGAGAACTCTTGAAGCCTCCCATCTTGCAGGACGAGTTTGGCCGTGGCAACCTGAGTCGAATCGGAGGAGCTGCAATTTCCCATTAATGGTGGACTCGTGAGTTGTGACTCGGGAGAAGTGGAAAGGTAATTATATTAGCTGGAGAAGGAAGGAACTAAGGGCAGAGAGTATATATAGGAAAGAATTTTGGACTGATTTGCCACGTCGGATTTTCTATTTATTTAAAATCATGTAATTCGAAACAGTGGGAATGGCTTTCCAGGCTGTAAGTTGTTGTTGACAGGTTGTAGTACTTGCTCGCATTAGTGTGCGAACCTGACCCGATTCTCGATATCATATATTTACGGTTCGTGCCACTGGGTTATAGTTTGATGCATGATGCAAGTGAAATATAATGTCTGTGAGGTAAGGGAAAAGCAAAGCAAAGCAAAGTTAGCAAATCACGTGAAGACTCGTGGGTGGGATGGTGTATTTTTTATTTTCTTACCGTGCTGATAACTAATACCTAACCCGGGTTCAATGGGCGATGGTGGATTTTCTTGTTACAAATTAAGAGTGCGATGGTACAGTTTGCGATATTCGGGAAGCATTGACGTCACTGGTCACCAATGTAAAAGTTGCTGCCATTCACCTATTGCCAGTTTCAATTTTTTAGATGGAAACGCCAAATCCAATTCTCAATGCAAGTACACCCCTCGCCCTTTTGTTTCTTTCGTTTTAAGGACTAACCTATCTTCATTCCGATATCGTAACAACTCCATTCCAGGGCTCAAATAAATATAAATGAATAATCATTATTTTTTGAATTCCACGCCACTGCATTCCACGGAGGGATAAACGTTATTCAATGAACAGCAATACTCAATAAAATATATTTGAAGATTTATTATAATATATTTAACAAAAATAAAAATATATTATAAATTATTATTGAATAAAATTAAGCCTTTTTTGTTCTTTTGTCGTTTTCTTTTCTTTTCACACGTGAAAATCAACCCCTCGCTCCCGCTAGTCGTCTTGTACATTATGAGCATTTTATTTCATTATGACGATGTCGAGAGATTTGCCACGTAGTCTTTCTTTTTTATTAAAAAAATATACTACATGGTAAAAGGCAAAAGGTCCAGTTTTTCGCGAGAAATTAGTGAATAGTTATGTCAATATTAATGATAGCATGTCAAACAGTTCCTACATACAATCATTCTGATTCGAGCCCTATCGTATCATTCTTGAATAAGGTCATTTTGCTGGTGTTGAGCAGTGTAGATTAAAAGGGTTCGAATGATGATTAGGAGGGGTAACAAATAGGGAAGGGTGGAGAGTGGCACTAAAAGAGGACGTGGCAATGAGGGAAGTCCTTGATGCTTCGCTGCAAGGCAAAGGAGAAGCCACGTGGAGAAAAGGCTTTGCAAAATGAAAATTGGACAAATAAAACAATAACAATGATTGAAAAATAATTAAGTAAGAAGGATTGTAAGAAGCAGAAACACTCCGACAGAAGCTGGCGTAACGTGATCTGGGTTGAACCCCCAGACCCCAACCCCCTGCAGCCTCGCCAGGCACCAGAACCCCATTCCTTCTACTCTTTTGCTTCTTTTTGCGGATCCAACACTTTTTTAATATAAACATATATATAAATTATGTTATTAAATGTTCTGATTTCTTTTCTTATACAATATTCTATTTTTTTGCATTTTTACTTTTAAATTACGCAACATGGGGAGGAATCACGGCACCAGTACTAGTAACCGCAAGCATACTATATGGATTAAGAACAACACCTACCTCCATTGATTTCACTGTCTTCCTTGCATAGTTAGCATATGGTTAATCTTCTCTACGAAGTAAAGGGTAGATACATTAATGGCTACTTTTATGTGGTTCTTGGTGGGAGATCAGGGAGGGTAGGGGACTAAAGTGCAGTCTTTTGTTTTTTAAATGTATGTCAATTGGAGGTCCATGATGCTGTTCAAAAAGACTTGTCTTCCTTTAAAATATTTGGTTGTTATGAATTAATAATGATCGTCCTGACCCCACCCTTCAGGCCATCGCATGAAGCTTCTTCACTGATTCCCTTTCCCCACTCAATCATGGTCTTTATCGTAAAAGAAGGTCCACATTATAATTCTTTTTTTGTTTATTTTTTCAAAATTATATTCCTTCCTTATCTTTTTATCCCTGCACTTGAGGCCAAATTGAACTTTTAAACTATAACTTTTTTTTATCATAAATTCATTAATTTATTTTTTTATATATTTTTCATTATTTTAAAATGTATTTTGATTAAGTTTTTATTTATTTTTATTAGAATACTCTTTCTAACTCATGAAAAATTATTATTTATTAATTTTTTCCACTCTTTGAAATAATATCTATTATTATTAACGCTTTTATAACATATTTTTAATAATAAAAAAAGTTATCAAGAGAAGAAAAAAACAGAGTTGATGCTCAACCTCAAATAGAGTTTGATTTTCTTTTATCATCTCTTCTCTTTCTTTTCTTTATATTTCTTTTTATTGTGTTTTAAAAATTCTATAAGTTAGAAAATGATGAATTTTCAATTTAAATTTTCTGTAATTTTATTTTTATATTTTAATTCAATATTCTATCTTTTAATTAAGTTATTTTTTGTTTTTTAGTAATTTTTATAGATTGACCAATCATGTGTTGTAGTTAAATTTACTTTTGCAATAAAAAACAATAATTAATAGATTAGATCCTAAAGTAAACTTTCAAAGTTGTTGACGTTTTGAAGGATAGAAATTTCTTAATCTAAGGTTTATTTCAACGATTAAAAGCCTTATATTTTGTAAAGATAAATATAAATAAAACTTTTAGACTGTTTAAATTGAAAGAAAATATCAAATTCTTTCTTCACTTTGTTAAAAAAAAGGACAAAGAATTTTTTAAATTAAATGATAATTAAAAATTTATAATATAATTAAGTAAAATATAGACATTTTTGTTTTTACAATAAAAATAACCTCTTTCTCAGTTTATATACTCAGTTTTCTTGATTAATTAAAAAGTCACAGGTTACATTTTTCATAAAATGTAATTGTTCAACTTTACTATTTTATCTTGTCTAATTTGTTGTATTTCTTTTATTATATTCTTTTTATAATTATGATTATCACTTTAAAAGTCAATTAAAACAATAGTAATTTTACAAGTTAGTTTGACTTTAATTTTTACAAAAATTATATCCATATCTTACTTAGTATTTAACATTGAACAGCCAACTGAATGTATTTGTTGATTTTTTCGTCACTATACATTTTCTGTTTTTTTCTCGCGACCGCTCTGTATTTATTTCATACTCTAAAATTTTAGAACTTGTAATAATATATTTCAATTTATTAATCTAATAGTTCAAATTTAAATAAAAAAGAAAATGCGGTTTGCAAACTACTATAAGTACAGATTTGACCAAAATTTTCAGGGTACTCATATGTTTTCACTTGCCTTTTACGAAGTTTGAACGTAGAATTGGACATATTGTGGCACGTTTCCGTCATGAGAAAATGTGGCGAGGGAGAATCACTAATCAACTGTAATTTTATAAAGGACAAATGTTAGAGCCCAACAATTTTAAAAGGCACCGACTTAAGCTTACTCTTAGTTATTATATTTTGTTTTATGTGATTTTTTTATTTTAATGGTTTATATTTACTTTGTATTTTTTTATTATTTAAATTATTTTTTATTTTTATATTTTATTCAATAATTTAAAATTATATATTATTGGTTTATATAAATTATGATACTTCTATTGTAGTATGTATACTTTATGTTATATTTTTATTTGTATAAATTAATATGCTATACTTTTATTATATTTTTCTAGTATTGAATAAATTTTTAAAAAATAAATGCAAGTAATTAAAATTAGGAGAACTAAAATAAAGTATAAGTCTAAAAATAATATTAAGCTAATTTAGTATTGTAAATAAAAAATACTCTTAATTAAAAAAAAAAAGTTTAAACACAGTGAGAATATGGTTTTCTTTAACAATATGTAGAGTGTAGACTGATATGAATATTATTTTAATAAGATACATAAAAAATGAAAACCTTCGTTCATAAAATAAATTCTCTCTCCATTTATATACTCAGTTTTCTTGATTAATTAAAATGTCACAGGTTACATTTTTCATAAAATGTCATTTGCAGCAAATGTCATTGCTATAATATTTTTTTGGATAAGTTATTGCTAATTACCTTCAAAATGAGAAAAAAGGTGCTGCTCGTGGGACAAATTTTCAATCTTTTATTTAAATTATTTGAAATTTATCTCCGCGTTATAAAATTAAATGTTTATTCGTGAGATAATTTGTAGACATATTTTTAATGTATTTTTGTATATATTTTTTTAATTTTACAAAACATATCTTTAAGTTTCTATACTGAATCAAAGTTTTTTTTTTTTTTCAATACCTTGTTTAATCAAAGAAGATTTTTACTTTCTTTAATTCGTTTAATTAACACTCAAATTTTTAAAAAATTACCATTGTATACGATATGATACTTGCAAATCATCAATAAAATACTCTTCTGTAAATTTTTTTTTAGATATTTTAAAAATAAATGTTGTGAATGCCTGCATTCTTACATTTCATCTTACATTTTTGTTAACGATAAAGCCACATTTTATCAATTAGCTTATTTTTCATAAGTAAACTTTTAATTTATATTTTATCTGTACCTAAAAATGTCGTGAATAATGCATGGATGCTTAGTTATTAGTCAATATATCATTTCCGTCACAAATAGTCAATGAGATGACACATTGAATTTACATATGTACGGTGGAAATTTTTAATTTTGAGTTGATTAATTAGTTCACTTAAGTTTTGATAAAATTAAATAATATTTGATTTAGAGATATAATTAATGACAGTAGTTTCACAAAATAACGCAGTATTCGCAACATGATTATTAGGAAATTGTAATTATTTTTTGAAGAATGCTCTCTCATTTTTTTTACACGATCTATATTTGCGATTAATGTAATTTTTGCATTTTTGTTGAAGTGAAAATTTTTTATTTAAGCAAAAGTAGTGAAAAATACAATAACTACCGAGCACAATTATTATAAAAGATCCCCTTTTGTCTTAGACATCAGTTAAGAAACAAAAATTAAAATTATATAACGAAATTAAAAAAAAATTATTTAATTTTATAAATAATTTAAAATATTTCATAAAGTATATAAAACATCTTTTAACACAATTTTAAAACACTTGTTAACAAGAATTTTGTTTTTTATTTTTATTTTTTGTTGAAATATCTTTGATAACCTTGAGTAAACAAAGTACATCCGTGAATAATAAGATGTTGTTTTATTTTCTTTAAGACGGTGCTCTTAAAAGGGAAATCATCAGAGATATATAGGATTCCTATTAGTAAATGATTCACGTATTATTTCTATCTGATTGGACATATGCGCACGATGCATTGAATACTAGAATATAGTGCATGACATCGCAGATATGCTATAGATTGGATGCTGTGGCTACGGTACTCATTCTGTACCCTCCAATTGACCATTTTTTGAGAGGTCAAAAGTTGGGCATCCCAGCCTTGCTGGCAAAAAGTGTTTAATATCAAGGAAGTTTCAAGGTTATTGACAATGCCCAACTTTTTAATCATATATCCGCTTCGATCAAAGATAAAAAAAACCATTTCCAAATTGTCATGGGACTCGAAAATCTAATCGACTGACATAACAAAGATTATTGTTGTTTGTGTTATGTTTTTAAGTTTAAATACAAAATATGTTTATTATGTGTTATTGCCGGTTGGTGGAGTTGATTAATTGTATGCTTCACCAATACTTGCGTGCTTCTAAATCCAACTAATTTGGCCGAGATGCATCCACATAATGCAAGATTATAAACTCTATTATTGGGCAGGAGAATTTTCGTTAAGGAGGTACCCCCACAAGCAAGCACGGCTTGATGCACGCACGCACGCTACTTTAAAGTTTAAACAATCACTGGTTTTGTTATGAGTAAATTATGCGATATTATGCCTGAAGTGTAAGAAGTTTGAAACTCGAAGACACGGTTATGAAGAGGTAGAAATATGTTTAAAATTTTACTTTTTACTGGCCTGTGTAACCGACCTTAAAAGAAAACTGTGTTGTTGTTGACATCAATATATAATTATATAGTATTCATGCATGCCAACGGAAACACGTGTTTGAGTCGAGAAACATACGAAAGTATGTGGTATTAACATTTCTCTTTGTACAACTGTTTGAATGCGAAAGATGAGTTATTATAGGCAACGTATTTAGGCTTTCATTCACAATTTCAGATAATGAATCTAAAAGAACCGAGATAGAGTGCTCATAATCGTTTATATCCATGAAAAACGTCGGACCTTTTATTTACTTTTTATTAAATAGGACACTTATGCCATTTAAATTAATTTTGATTTCATTTATCAAACAACAGAAGGCTCGCAAAACTTTAGAGTTGAAATAATCATTTCATTTCATGAAATTACGATTCCATCCATCAAACTTGATGCTGAATTAAATATTGCTAGTGTAGTATATTTCTTCCACATCCGAAGGTTTACTTGAATATCCTACAAACTTCAGATGATCCATTAATTGATCCAGCATGGAGTATAAACTGTTTGAAGCACCATGCCTTTTGTCATCCACCATGAATTGATGGCAACAGCCATCAATTTCAATGAAGCTAATTGCCCTACACTTTTTTATCCCACTGTCATCCATTATTTTCCTGATCTTTTTCATGTCATCCCATCTTTGAGATTCTGAATACATGTTCGAGAGAAGCACGTAAAGTCCAGAATCATATCGTCCCAACTCCAGCAACTGCTTCATGATTTGCTTAGCAATCTCTAGATTCCCATAGATCCTGCAAGCACCAAGCAAAGCACCCCAAACAACAACATCTGGTTTAATGGGCATCTTTTGTATCAGGGTCATTGCTTCTCCTAGGAAACCCCCACGCCCTAAAAGATCAACCATGCATGCATAATGTGCAATATCAGGAGAAATCCAAAAAGTATAATTCATCATATCAAAGTAATATCGTCCCATGTCTACAAGACCACTATGACTACAAGCAGTGAGTAATCCTGTGAAGGTAATCTCATCGGGATAGAGCCCACTAGCTTGCATCTTCTCAAACATCTCAATAGCTTTTTCTCCAAAACCATGTAGAGCAAGTGCTCTAATAATAATATTCCATGACACTATATTCTTCTCAGGCATCTCAAAGAAGATGTCTATGGCAGTTTGAAGAGCACCGCACTTTGCATACATGTCTATTAGGGAATTACATAGCGTCACACTCATTGTAATATTATTATCACAAATGTAACAATGGGCTTGTTTTCCCAATGCCAGGTCACCCATGTGACTGCAGCATGTAAGAATGCTAACAAGAGTAACATTGTCAGGCATCACATGTGAATTACACATCCTGAAGAAAAGTTCCACAGCTTCCATACACCGTCCTTCTTGAACGTGGCACCAAATTATTGAATTCCAAGAAACTACATTCTTCATTGTCATCTGATTAAAAATTTCTAGAGCATTATCAATAAGCCCATGATTCGCGTATGCATTAACCATACAAGTCCAGGAAACAACATTTTTATCATGCATTCGATAAAAAATACTTTTAGCATATTGTAAATGCCCACACTTGGCATACATATCTATGAGTGCATTTGTCACGATCGAATCAATTTCAATTCCAGTAATAACGATATAAAGGTGCAAAAACCTTCCGAAATCCAAATTACCAAGCTTTGAGGAAACAGAAAGCAAGCTAACCAAGGTGAAAACATCAGGCTCAACTCTCAGGTGTTGCATTTCTCGAAACAACAAAACCGCTTCGTTACAACAGCCCAATTTAGAATACCCAGCAATCATGGAATTCCAGGAGACTAGAGTCCTATCAGAAATATCATCAAACACTTGGCGTGCACTGGATATCAAACGACAAGCAACATAGACAGCCAAAGTTGCATTTTGCACACAGTCATGATGCCCCATTCCGAGCTTAATAGCCTGAGCGTGAACAATAACAGCTTCCCAATACAAGGGTACTGCAGCACATGCTTTGAGAACAAAGGGGATGGTGAAGTGGTTTGGAATAAGGCCAGCACTCACCATTTTGCGGTAGAGCAACAAGGATTTTATTGGGTCACCACTATTTGAATAAGCCCTTATTAAATGATTATACATGAATTTATTGGGCTGCGGAATTTGATCAAACAGAAGGTGAGCGTAACGAAGATCTCCAACTTGAGCACAGAAAGAGACTAACTTGCCCAGTGTGAGAACTTGGGCAGCGAGTCCATGGAGGATGATCTGGGCATGGATAAGCTTGAGTTGAGTCATTGAGGAACATTGTTCCACGAGACAGTGAAGGGTTTGGTGAGTGGGTGACTTCAAATTGTGCCAAATGGTTTTGTTGATTTGTGTTTGTGTGTGTAGGGAACCAACGGAAAACAGGCGGGATCCAACGGTCGCGGGTTTCACCTTCAGAATGGAGGACATCAAATGAAACCGAATACCAAGTCTATTGTGTTTGTGTCCAGCCTATTATTTATTTTAATTCTGTTGTTGATTAAAAACAGCTATTACAGTGAGTGGAAGTGTTAGACTCCAACATATAATTAGTAACATATTCTTTGATAAAATTAAGAATTATGAATAAAATTCATTAAATAAAAAATTATTGTTACATCATCCTGCAAATCTCAGTATAGTTCAACCTATTATAAAAAGTGCATTTGGTAAAAAAAAATAAAATATGTTATTAACAGATTTTTACGTGATTTAGATATTTTTGTACATCAAGAAATACAAGCAATGTTATTTATTGTGGGTTGAAATTTATTTAAAGTTATAAATCATGATTGGATCTCATTAAAAAGAGAGTATGTTACACATAGTTTTAAACATTTTTTAACTGATGATTAAAATTGTGTTTGAAAGAATTTTAGAGTGTGATTAATATTTTTGTTTACGAGTCACACCTTGCAATCTCGTTGCAGAGATTGCAGTTAACGTTTTTAGTTTTTTAACTTATGGCGAGATTATGTAGTTTAATATAAAAAGCTTTAATTCTATCCGATACTCATCTCCTCCATCTACCTAAATAGAAATTTAAGTCCTAGACTTTATGAAAATTTGATACAATTTTTTTTGACAAATTAAAAAAAATGAATAGTAAAAAAAAATCTGAAAATTGCTTAAGTCGCAAATTACGCAAAACATAAAATGCGATCTTGTCAATTTACATGAGCAGTTTTCTCTTAAAATTATAATAAAAATAAACATGCAGATACTTGCTTTTCCAAAAATGTATAAAATCCTCATATATTAACATTTCTACTTCCACTCGTCCCACTATGAAATTCTCAAACATGAAAAAAAAAAAGTCTATTACTTCAGAGGATTTACGTTATGGCCCTTTTTCTTTTATTATTATTTAAGCTAAAAGAAGTATCCCTTATTGGGGATAACAGTGGAGTTAGTTTCCTTTACAATTTTTTTAATACTAAGATTTAAACTAAAAACTTCAGTTAAATTAAACACTTATCATCTAAATTAACCATATATTAAATACTTTTTTATATTTATTTTTTTAGACCATAGGTATTTTTCATCAGAAATCATTATGTTTGAACAGATCAAGATTACTATGAGCATTAAAATTTTTTTTTCAAATATTTAACATAATTATATTTACTGAAACTCAAAACTATGGATTAAGTTAAAACATCACTTTACCAATAAATCTATTGACATTTATTAATTTAAATTAATTTATTTTTTTCTTGTTTTTATCTTAAAATCTCTAAAATAAGAAAAAGTTAGGAATGCATAGATGGTGTAATGATTTCAATAAAATAAAATGCATTCTCCCAAACACTATATATCAGTTTTTAGCAGTCAAAGGAAAAAGATCTCTTCCGGCAGTTGAATTCTCAACCCAAAAATGGAAAGTGGCAAATAAGTTACACCTATACCATGATTATAGGTGTTATGCTAATCAATTGAAGGCATCCATTAGTCTAAGTCATGCTATAGTGTAATGTCATATAAATCATCCAAGGAGTTGCAACCAATTTTCCTAACCAGGGTCAAGTCTCAACAACTTAGTTTCATGCATCAAAACTTGCAGGAAAACAAATATCTGCCAAATGTCGTAGTTTATGAAACCAATTGAGCATCAAGGAAATAGAACTTCCTTATTTCCCTTGCATTGAAAGAGCAACTATTACCCTGTTGATTTTAATCATCAAAACTTTACTCACAAGGAAACACAAAAATATATGCGCCTGAGAGCAAATGACTTAGTCATTTGCAGCACCCTTTCCATTCATGTATGTACATATCAACAGTGAGGCATGTATATTACAGAGAAGGGAAAAGCCAAAAATTAAAAAGAAAGGAAGCAGATGAGAGAAACCAAGACAAGAAGGCCATAGCAGCAGACAATTGATATCTACCACATAACTTTGGGGGGCAATGGGATCCACCAGCTTCAAGCAGAAGATCTATGATACCGGCTGTAGAACATGCTGCAGCAAGTGATAGATATGACAAAACCTGAAACACAAAAACTCAGCATCATTAGTCCATTAATAATGAAGCCATCAGGTGTTGGAAATATATAAACTCTACTTACCATGTCTCCAAACAAGATTATCATCACGAGCCTTCGTTGAACCGGTAAATATTGGATGAAGACAGAGTAAGCATCTACCACTAACAATGTTATGCTCCATGGAATTACCAAACCCATGACTGTTACCAAATAGCTGTGGGATAGCAGTATACAGAAAAAATAGTAAAAAATACCCAAGCAAGGCATATGCATAGATGTATCATTCCAATATAACTTGAAAGTTGAAACTCTAATGACATGCATAAACCTATATCTTTTTCCTTTTGCAGGTTCAAACTACAAACGTGCTAAATGGACAAAAAGACTTCTGCTTTCTTATCACAGCCAAATCATGTAAAAAACACACCAATTAATGACATGTATAAACTTTCTAGGACCATACTTGTAGCAATCCTTCATTTGTTTGATATAAGGTACCAGTAGATATATTTTCAAAACAACATCCCAAGATGGGAATTGAGAACCGTCATTTCCTAAAAAACTGAGGATTATAGATAAATTAAACAAATTGATCGAATTAGACTGAAAATAACGAGAAGCTAGAAATGGGTATGCGAATAGCAAGAAAAAGCCAGAGAATAGAAGAAAAGGGGCACACCAAAAAGCAGTGTAGGAGTAGAAACCAACGTCCAAGCACATGAAGAGAAGGGAAGCAGAGGAAAAAACGGTTTGACCCAAACGGAGAGCGAAGCTAGCGCTAGTGCCAAACGACCCTGGCAATTCCTCCATCATCACATAGCATAGCAACATCGCATAGCAATATCATGCACCTTAGTCTTTGTCACACCAATTCAATCCTGCGAAATAGGCGCATGAAACATGCCTGATTTCCTCCGTAATATTAAAATCAATCAAAGTTGTTAGAGAATTTAACTTAACACAAAAGGAAATAAATTAAATGAGAAAGGAAAAGGAAACTGGGAATATGAATGTGAAACTCAACCATATGATAAAATATAAGTATGGAAATACAGGAGAAGCATAAGACACTGTGTTACAGACAAATTAAAATAGTAAATATAATTATATTCTTGCTTTTCTTTTACGGTGAATTGCAAAAGAAAATGAAGCCTTCTGATACACAAAGTTGCGAAGAGGAATGAAATTTGTGAGTACTAAGCTTGTGTGTGAGCGTGTCCAATACTTAGAATGTGTTCCGTCGGCGCGATACCCGGGTTGTATTCGGATGCCCCCAGTCTTGATCATTCAATGCATTATCTCTGCCAATTATACCTATTAAATTTCGATTTTTTATTATTTAAACATTGAATAATTTATGTTACTTTATTAAAAAATACTCTCTTAAAGTGAAAACTGAAGAAATAATAAATTTATTTCACTTTAGTTGCGCAAAAAGTTTCGATGAAATATATTAATAATTAATTAAAAAAGAATTATTTCTCTTGTCATTAATAATATTCTTTTGACTTTTTTTCTTAGCTGGATTTCTGCTCACCGACAGTTAATTACAAGATAGGAAACAGAGAAAAACTTTTTTTTGGTTTTGAATAGGTAACTGAATTCATTATCTATTTAAAATTTAGTTTCAAGCTTTATTTTGTCTCCTCTTATTAGTGTTATTGCAATATTTATCTTAATTTATGTAATTGGACACATTACATCGTATAAAGTTCTTACTTTTGATTTTCTAATTTTATTTATTTCATTTATCTTTTATTCAATTTCGTCTTAAAATTTATGGTTATCTTTTTGTTTCATTTCAATCTTCTATAGTGTCGAAAAAACATGCAGCATGCTTATTCTGCTTAAATAAACAAAATTTGCTTTGTTGTGTACGTCAGCATTTCATTGGTCATTGTCACATGAACAAAGAGACGATGGAAATACATAAATTAAAGAAACAACAAAATGACATATTTTCCTCCCGTGTCAAGATTATCTCAAAAAGCTTAAGACTGGTCCAATTATCATCGAGGTTTTTTCTTAGAACAATATGGGTGTGTAAAATACAATGTGCTTGATTTTCGTTCGGAAATCTCCAAATTTTAAAGTTTCAACCCAAACCATGGTCGATTTTCAACGACGTAAAATACAATAAAAATTGGTGGCACAAAGTTCTAAATTTATAACTTTACCGGAAATTACTCAAAATTCTCGCAATCAGCGTAGTTGGTGGCTTAATGGTTTACAATTAGCATAGTATCTTACTATTCCACGACAAGTATTGAAGTTCAAATAGTGCAGCTCGGGTGACTGGATAACAAGCTTTGGTTAAAAGCAGGACTAGCTATTCTTTTCTCCAAATTTTTTGTGAACCAAGTAAAAATATAATCAAAATATCTTCATAAAACTCGGAACATTTTTTTCTTTAAACCAACTTTATGAAAATAAGTTAAATTTAGTCCAATTTATGATAAGATGCAAGAATGGTCCAAATGTAACATAGACATCTTAATTATAAGCATTATAATCGAAGTCATTACAATATACACACATGATAATGCTCTGAGTGCTTCGCCAACTTGGGGGGTCACAAGATGATGCAGTAACACCGTGGAGTTGCAACAAAATACAATTACATCATTGAAAAGAAAAAAGAAGCTCTATGACTCAAGCTGCGCATACCATATGCCTTGAATCTTCACTTCCTTTGGAGCTTTAGCACCCAAATCAGTATCAGATGGCTGAATACTCTCAAACACCCCAATAACCTCTCCAGTCTCAGGCTTGCTCTTGGTCACACTCAAAGTGATTTTCCCTTTGGATGATGAAGCACTCTTGTTGTTTTCCTTGGCAAGTTCTTCCTCGTCTCCTCTTCCACCCGCAGGCAAAGCAACAGCATTGTCATAACCAGTTGAAGCACCCCTTCCTTTTGGGTCCAAGAAAGAGGAACCACGATACGATGGTACGAGGAACTCTCCACTAAAGTTGTCTGGTTTCCCAGATGCCACTAACTGTTTGATGGTGAAGAGGAACGGCACGCGCTCACCACCGGGTAGCTGAACGGTGACAGCAGCGTAGTCGATTCCATCTTTCTCCTCAAACTTGATTGATCCATCGGAAGAAACCTCGAAGGGTCCCTCGATCTCGTCAAGAGTGTAGGTTAAACGAGTCATGAGTTTGGTGTTTTGGAATTCAAGAGGGGCGTTTTTGGTTACACCTTCTGCCTTCACTGTGAATGAAGTGGGTTCAAGACACAACTTCTTGGCAGTGTATTTGCCTTGCTTGAAGGCGAATGACTCCACTCCACCATCTATGGTGGGGCACTGGTTAGCAGTTCCAGTTCCCTTCACTTCTAAGTATGTCTTGCTCTGGATTTCATCGTAGGTTAGCCGCTTCGGAACGCCTTCCGCACTTGCTCCCTGAATGCATCACCATAATATTCTTTTAGCATGATACTTATAAATTTACGATTATTTTAACGTCGTTAGTTGTAATTTTTACTTGAAGTTACAGAATTTTTTAACTTATTTTTTATAAATAAACATTTCATAATATTTGAACAATCGTTCTCCCTTAAATTAGCCTGGGAGTGAGTTAGCCAGTCTGTTTCTAGTGTATTTATAATGTCATTTCCCACTCAAAAGAATCATGACAAAATAGTACGTTAAAAAAGAGCTAGTTATGACGCATGTGCATAAATTACTTTGAATACCAAAACGTGTGTTTTATTTTATTGAATAGTGCAATAATTAATTTTTCAACTTTTAGATAATCAAGCACTGAGACGTGTCAATAATTTAGTAAATTAGCCTTCTGCATGATTGGATAGGATAAATTGAATTACTGATATATTATAAGATCATAGTCTATGTGTAGTTTATAGAAGTCGCAGGTTGTCAAGGTGGAGCGTTGAAATATGTTATCAAACGGAAGATATGTAGCTGTGATATGTAAGAAAGAAGAAACAGAAGAGAATGGCATACAGAGACAACGAGAGCAGAGGTGGCAAGGGCGAATCCTGCAATTTTGGTGGCGTCGACACATCTTTGAGCCACGTCCTTGAAATCGGCTTGAAGAGAGCATGTGAGCTTAGCCGAAGCCGGTTCGAAGCCGAAAGCCTTAGAAATGAGTTGTGTGGATTTGAGGTGAAGAGTGGAGTTGCGAGGGGTGATGGGTTGCATGAAGGTGGCTGCAGCTTGTAGTGAGGCTGCCATTGCTGCGAATTGAAAGTGAAACAAATTAGTGTCGCTTTGGACTCTGTTTTTGTGATGGCAGAGAATGGAGAGAGTAGAAGGATGTATGTATGTATGTGGTGCCTCTGCTTTCATTAAGATTTCCGATAGGGTAAGGCCATCTCTTATTGGATAACTCAAGCTAATGTCAATGGTTTTCATGTTTGCCACGTTGGAAGCTTCTCTATTAGGATAAAATATACTTTCCCAAACAAATCAAACTTTTTAATTACAAGTTTACCAATACGCCCAAAAATAAGTAACTAATTCATCTAAATTGATAAAAAAATTTACTTAAATATTATAATTTTTATTATATTTTAAATATATTTAAATTAGTATATAATATATTAAATAAACATATATATACATATATATTTAATTTTAAATAAATATTAAATTTCTCGTTATCATTAATTTTATGATCAATATTTTTATAATTAATATATTTTTAAAATCAATTTATATTTTAATAATTAATTTATATAAATAAAATTGAAAGAAAAATAATATTATATGCTATTTTTTTTAAAAAAATATTATCACTTCTTTCACAAAATGAGTAATGAAAGAAGTGATTAGAAAAAATTAGACAATATTATATTAATTATTACTATATTTATAAATAATAATTGTAAAAATAATAAATTTAAATATCAGAATTCATTTTTTAAATGCATTAATTATTATATTTTAGAAATTAAATAAAATATGATAAAAAAAAAATAATGAATGTGATAGAAATTGACTGTAAAATAGAAGAGTTTAATTTTAAGCTTATTTATTTTTTAATATATTTTATAAAATAAATTTTGAAATAATATTTTTTAAAAAACATATTTCTTATTTTAGGTCTTTTTTAACATATCATTATCTGTTTTATTTATTGTATAGATAAAATTTATTTATTTTTAATTAAGTTTTGTCTTTAATAAAGATGAAATTAAGTAATTATATCATGTGTTATTATTTTATAACTTTCATTTGCTGCATGGACAAAATTGTTAGAATTATGCTACATGATATCGACCTAATTTATTAATAATTATTACTGTAAGATGATTGTTAATAATTAATTTCACACTTAATATTATTAAAGTAACTTGTTTAAAAATAATTAATGCTTTTAACCTATTTTCTAAATGCACCAATTTTGATTTCTAAATTCAAAGGAGTTGAAAATTTGTAAGTGCAAAAGATCAAAATATGTGGTATTAACTACTTTGTAATTCTCACTTTTAGTGTTGGCTCCACTACTAAAGTAAAAAACTTAAAAATCTTACATGTTTTCTCTTGTACATAAAGTGATATTAATTGTAATTATGGTAGTCTTTATTACTATTAGCATGCATGAACTACTTTACAAGTTGCAAGTAATTAAAATAATTTTCAAAAGTTATATTGACAAAATACATGATGCAGTATTATAAATTTTATTAATATAATAAATAAAATTTATCACATGATGACATGTGGCATAATTGTATAATTTTATTTTAATTGAAGATGAAACTTGATTAGAAAAAATTTTAAAAAGTAAAATTTGTCAAAACAAACATATGCTATGCTAACTCGGTAAAAAAATTCGAAACAAGGAATATGTTTTAAAATAATATTATTTAAAAAATTATTTTATAAAAAAACATTAAAAAATGAATAAGCCTATTTTATCAAAGATTTTGGACTAATTAAGTAATTACATATAAGATAAAATATATTTTAAATTGTATAGATATGATTTATTTATTTTTTTCAAATCTTCTTTTACAAATTTTAATTATTATAAATTTTAATTTTTTAAAAAGTAATTTATATTATTGTTTATTAACAACGTAATATAAATTTAGATATATCGCATTATATTTAATTTAAAATACCTATTAACTCAGAAAATTGAGTTAATAATGTAAGACTTGGTTGACTTATTTAATAAAAATTTCAATACACCCATTTTTTTAGCCGATATCAAACTTGGATTGTGATGTTAAATAAAATGATAAAAAATAAATTTATATTCAATTATATTTATAAGAATTAAAACGATATTTAAACTTTATATGTAATCATATCAAATAATAAATATATTGAATAGTAATTATATGTTTATTGATTAAATAAGTTTAATTACTAAATTTTTTTAAATAACATATAAATAATAAAAATATAAACTCTATGTAATTTCCTTTCTTTAATTTAAAATCAGTTTTTTTTATCTATTATAAAATTTGAATATATGTCTTTATATGTTTTTATTTTATATTCTCATTGTTATCTTTATTTATATTTTAAGGATAAACATATCTTTATAATAATAAAATTACAGTTTATTATTTTGTTTAAAAGAATAAATTCATATTTTTTATTTACTATATAATAAGTTGATATTATATAAGATTATATATAAAATATACTTCATACATATAATATAATGTTCACAAAATCTATTTTTATATTGTTTTATTTTATTAAATATAAATAATAGTATTATACTTAATACTTGGTAGGTTTAATTATATTTTTATTTTTATAAAAATAATACTATTTAGGATAAGTTTTTTAAAAAATAATTAAAATTTAGTTTTAATATGTTTAAAATATAATGATTTAGTCTCTTTCATCAATTCTATTTTATTAAATAATAATTATTAACATATTATAATTATTTTTTATATTTATTATTTAAAAATTAATTACAAAATATTTCTAAAGATAATATTTAGAAAAGAATCTTTTTTTTAACATTTACTTTAGAAGTTTTTCTATCATTCTTCTTCCAAATCACTTCAGCATCAATAATTCCCAAAACCCTAATCAAACTCTCTCATCCATCATTCACTCGAATCATTAGTCTTCTTTACCATCTTTACTTTTCTATCAACTACATTCCCTTCGTTTAAATCCTTATCTACAATAACACCATCAACACTTAAACATGAGAGGAAGAAGCAGAAAAAAATTTAGAACTCTTTCACAAATTTTGATATTTTAATAATAAAACATAAAAAATAATTAAATAATATAACAATGAAAACATAATTTTTTTATTTAATTTATCACTTAATAAAGTACAATAGACTACGAACTAAATCTTTATAATTTTAATATGTGAAAAACTAAATACTAATAATTTTTTTAAGAACATATAAATATTATTTTTATAAAAAAATAATTAAACTTATTTGATAAATATTATATCTATTATTAAAAAATACACACTTTAAATTTGTTTTCTAATATATATATATATATATATATATATATATATATATATTACAATTTATCAAATTATATAAATACAAATTTTCTCCTAATATTACAACAAAATAAATTTTTACTATAAATATTATAAGCATGGATTCATAAATTATTATAACCAGAGCATTATGTTACTTTATAAGTTATATAATGTATTCATGACTTTTGCTTTAGTGATACAAATCTTGATTTATGCTTTTGAATTTGAATGTCCTCGTAAAAACACTACTCTTATACAACCATCAACTTCACATCTCAAACAATGTTTTTTAAGATTAAACTCTTTGGATTTAAGGAGCGTTTACACATCACAATCAATGAAGGCTGCGCGGTGATCTTAGTGTTCATGTCGTCTCATTGTAACTCTTCTATAAGAACCTGGATTGAAAGAATAAATAGAGTAAAAAAAGTTCTTCGCTTGTTAGAAACCAGTCCTGACAGCATAGGTCCTTTATGATGATTGACCGCGGCATGTGTAACATCTTCGTTTTTACTAAACGATTAATTTATTAATATAGTTCTAAGTTAATATATAGTACTTAATTTTTTGGGAAAAATTGGGATAGAATTAGCATGAGATGCTTTAGACAAAATTGTTAGGTATATTTTTAAGAAATTTTTGGTAATTTTTAATTTTTAAATTTTTAAGTTTCAAAAAGTGTCAATTTGTATTGGTTAAAATTGCTGTATAATGCTAAAAATAACATTTTATTTTAAAAATAACAATAATAATAATAAAAATTATAAAAAATTTATATTTTATTTATAAATATTATTTGGAATATAAAGATAAACTTTTTGTAATTAATGAGCATTTGTGGATTTTCTGGTTAATTTTACATGAATTAGTTATATGCTTAAGCAGAAATTTCGTGTAAAAATTTTAGACACCAATTAAAGGATCAATAGTGTCAAAAATTATTTTTTAATTATATTTAATATATTTCATGATTATTTTTAAATTTTAGGATTTTTATCTAATTATTTCAATTAATTACTAAAAAAAATTAGTAGAAATTCTAATATTATATTATTATTTTTACTATTTAAGATAAGGATTAGTCTCTAAAGCTTCCTATTTCTTCCTTTCACTTCCGTAAGCCCCATTTTCTTTCTTCCAAGGAGCTTTGATCATCTTTGGTCTTAATCTCTTAAATTTTCAAGTAAGTTCATTAAATTTTTTTAATATTTCATCTATTTTCATCATTTTGCATACTTTGAACCGATTAATTTTTTATTTTTTCCCTCTTTTTGGGTGCTGGAACAGTGGCATGAGGGTGAGATTTTGTCCAAAATTTTGTTTCTAAATTATGTTTTAATTAGCTTAATCTTTCTATATTTTATAATAAATAATTTTGGTGCTTTTTGTTTTGTTAAAAATACATTTGGGGGTTTAAAACCCTTGGTCTAGAGGTGCTGTCCCAAGAGTGTTATGAAGGAAAAATAATTATTTTTTATCACCTTTAGGCTTATAGTATTCTATTTACATCATAGAAAATAATTGTAAGGCCCGTAAGTCATTTTTGCGAAGATTAGAAAATGATAGTTTCAACTCACTAGTAGTGGGTTGGGTGATTAATGCCTCTTAACCTTGATCATGATTATGTGTGATTATTTGGTTAGGATCGTGGTTTGAGAAGTGGTGGAAAGAAATCGTTGGTGAGAAAAAAATTGGTATACACTTCAAGGTAAGGGGGACATATCTATTTTCACGGGTATAGTAGAAAAACGTTGAGAAATGGGTGTTTTATTCTTTGCTATGTATATATGAATTATTTGAAAGAATTTATAATTATTTCCATACTTAGTGTACAATTGTTTGATATTCCTTTTTGATATTGATTTTATGTGTGATGATGTTTCTATGATAATTGTTTGTTGAATTCAGTATAAATAATTGATTACCTAAAATACTTGAGGAATGAACTATCATTCATGTGGAGTGAGCATGTAGAAGGTCTGTTGAAAGTTGAAAAGAATTGGAGAATTGCAAAATAAAGATATAAAAAAAATCTTCTTTAATTTTAAGTGGTTTGGTCAAAATTTATTTAATAGTTTTTATATATTTAAAATATACCTATATACATATTTAAATAATTTAAAGGATTTTAATTCATTTTAAAGAATTATTTTAAATGGGTATTTTGAAATGTGGTGATAATTGGAAAAAGGTATTTGAGAGCCATTGAAATGACAGAAAAGTTGTGAAATGTGGTGGTGGTGAGACTCTGTTTAAAATTCGAAGTGTATTAGAATTTTCTGGCTGTTTTGCAGAGAGAAGAAAATTTAGAAATATCTGAATTATAGAGGAAACTCTGCCGGATTGTCGGTGAAATTTTGAAATATATGTTGTTGATTAAAAAGAAATGTTTAATACCTAATTAAAAGACTGAAATTAGGTTTATGCATCATAAGCATGTAATGATGATGGTGTTGGATGGGAAGTATACGAAATCTAGGAGAGACTCCAGGTTAGTCTTGGGGATAGTTGGGTGTGATTGAGCCGGGCAAAGGCCAGGGTTCGTAATCTTGTGCTGTCGGTTCTCACTGCAAAACCGGACTATCCTGACAGAACCCGATGGATTATCAGAATCAGTTGAGCTATATCTTTGAAACTATCTAATGAGATGGTTATGACCAAGAATGATTGATGACAGTGAACTCCTGATCCTTCCCAGAAAGAAAGAAAGAGAAAGAGAAAAAGAAAAAGAAAATGGTTTGGGCCCACATGCATGTGTCAGTATAGCAATTAACTAGGTGATGCACAAAATCATACATGGCATGTACATTGTGTGTTGAGTTGTTGCTAATTGCTATAATGATTGTAAATATCTTGACGTGTTTTCTACTGTACTTTGGTTGAAATGAGTTTGTCTCACCCTTTTAGTTGCTATGTGTGTTGTATGTAAATATTTTTAGTAGGTGAGGACACAAATGGCCCGACCACCATACCAGTTCAGCGTCACGGTCAGATATGATCCTGAAGGAAGATGGGCGTACGATTGAGAACGATAACAGTTCACCCATACTGGCACTATTACCTTTTTGTTAGATAGAAATAGGTCAGGCCCACGGGCATACCCCATCCTCATCAGGGTACCCATGAGACTCACTTTTCCATTTACTCCTAGAGTATTGTTAACTTTTGGAGGAAATGGTATTTTTGATAATCATGGGTCTAGGGGGAAAGCTTGTGAGGTCATTTTTGTTGTTGTTGTCTCTGATATCGTGACCCCACTTTATTTTGTATGTAAATCAGCTATGTGTATATGTTTATATGACTGAATGACTGTATATTTTGACAGATGATTGCTATATACGTATTTGGATAACCGATGCAGATGGTGTATTTAGTTTCTATTAATGTGAACAAATGTAAACTCATACATGTGACTTTCTTACTGCTTGGATTATTTTAATATTATATTTATATTGATGGCATAATAAATAGTAAGGGTGTCACAACAGGAATAGAAAAGAATGAAGAGCTGCCTCCTTTGAGCCGCCTCCTTTGAGCCTACCGCTCCTTCTCCTATACCTGGCAGCTTCTCGCTCACCAAAGCATACTTCGTTCGTTTCCCGGGACGAGCGGCTCCTTCTTTCTTCCTTCTAATTGATAAGAAAGCGGTTTTTCTTTTCCCTATCTTCCCTGACCTTAGATGGAGAAAGAAATGCTTAAGGAAAAGGCGCCCTAGAAGCTGACGCGTCAGTCCGCTCTTATTGCCCTTATGTGATTTGAACCGGCGTAAGGAGGTTCAGTCAAGTATAGTATCATGCTTATTCGTGAATCAGAAGGTTGGTTCAGATGCGGGTCAGAAGAGGCGATGGATGATAAATGGTTCCATAATGATCTTCTATCTGTTACCAGGCATTTAGCGTAAACAATAGATATGTATGCCGCTGGATCGTCCACTCTATCCAGAGCACAAGTAAGAGATTGAGATTTACACCATACATGTAAGCTGAAAAGAGTTCTTCCTAAACATGCAATTTGCTAAAAGTAGTATCGTGTACATTTAAAAGCTTTTACAATTTCTAACATTTTTAATTTTTTTTCTTTTACATTTTAACTTTATTAATAATAATAATAATAATAATAAAATGGTAATTTTTACCTTTTTTATTCTTAAGTATTTGTTTTGATAACTTTTTCTTAAATTTTGCTGTTTCTTCTGGTATAAAGCTTTTTTTGTTATTTTTTATGCAATAAATTTTATTCTCTTTAACTGAGGTTATTTTGATATTTTAAATTTTAAATAATTAAAATTATAAAAAAAGGTTAAAAATCGATTTATAATAGAATTATATTATGTAAATTTACTTTTTTTATTAACATAATAAAAGTACTAATAAAACATGTTTTTAATCACGTCATTATCACCACAAATTTAGTCTTTTCTTTCTACTGCGATGTTAATAATTTTCTTCTTTACATAACTCACTATTTATTAATAATCAAATTCATTTTATAATTTTTAATATTTTTATTTTCCATGTAATTAATAATTCAAAGTCACATTAATAAAAAAAACACTTTTAAGTTTAATTGGCAACTAGTCTTGTAAAAAATAGATCTTTTTTTATTTGACCATACATTTTCTTATCATCTGAAACATTTTGTAGTTAATTATTACATTGAAATTTTTATCCTATGTTTAATCACAAATTTTCTTAAAATAAAATAATTAAATGAAAAATTATAATAAATATTTTAATAAAATCATTAAAAAATATAAAGATCATAAATTATTTTTATAAACTTTCTGCTCTAATAAGACTCTTAATTTTAAGAGGATTGAGATTTATTCCAATCACGTTATTCATAAATAAAAATAACGTGAAATTAATCAATAATTTAGAAATTCTAAACCCTAAATTTTGAAAAGAGAAAGACAGCAGCTCAAAAGTGCTTGAAATAGAATCATCGGAAAAACTCAACAGAAAAAGAATGTCACTATCATCACAGCCATCGCCTTTCTCTATCTTTCTCAATATGCCAAAAGGAACTAACATTAATAGATACACTAAAATTAAGAGTATGAGAGGCATTCAGAATGAGTAGGAGGATTGTATTCATCATTTGAATCATCATATGAAAATATTAATCAATATCATCATCATCATGCCGAGCTTCAAAAATCACAAAAATAAAGGAAAAACAAGAGAACAGAAAGAAGAGTGGAATTCTCTCAGACAAATGCCTCGATTTGTCGTCAGTATTGTAAAGAATGGAATATAGATCGGACTCGTCATCGTTAATTCATCATCACAGAGAAAACCACTTCTAATATCCTCTTCTTCCATCAAAATATATCGCAAACAACATTAAATTAATCGAACCAGTCAGATAAAAATACAAACATAGAGAGACATTACTCCTCGTCGAAACACTAATTGAGAAACTAGTTTTGGCATAATAAAACTCTGGCCATGGCTCCATGAAGCTTATGAACATGCTTCGCTTTTATAGGCAACACGGTTCCGTTACGACGCTTTAGGGTTGAGTTAGCATTAGGGTTTTGTAGGCCTTGACCCGCACATATTGGGCCTAATACTAACTATGGGCCGTGTGAAAATATGTTGTAGAATTGAAGCTGCCCGTTGCCCGTGTGCGATTGCATTTTTAAAATAATCTATGATTAAATGACCCAAAAAAATTTACTGTAATTAAAATTCTTTTTGAACAGTCCTTGATGTTTTTTGCAAAGAGTATGAATCGAATTAAAATTATATTCAAACACATAATAATTAAATTAAAATTTTGTAACATATGCAAACACTAATATAAACAGTCAAATCATGGTAGTAGAGAGAAGACGTTGCTGTAATACATCTAAACATTAAAAGACCACTATGTAGAAATACTAAATTAAAATTGTAATTTCACCAAAATAAAATAAAATTGTAAAACATATATAACGACCAAATCCATATTTTTATCAAACAAAATAATGTACCTAAATCCTAAAATTAAATTAACAAGCATTTATAGTTTGGACCGCACACAAGAACAGAGGGATTTATTCTATATTATTAAGACCTTTTGACATAGAAAAGAATGCAGGTTAATGTTGGTCAGTTTAACATGACCAGCCCTACATTACATTATTAATTATCAAGCTCCTTAACATTTTTGTAACATACGATGGTATCCCGGCAATACCGATCTCTATCCCTCTCGATGTCCTCGAACTCAAAAATAACTGCTGCAGATCAGAAGTCATCTTCAAGAATTTTGAGAGTTCCCATTTCCTACAGGAAAAAAGAAACATATACAGAAAGGAGTAAATTTCATCTTCATCACGAATTGATATTTGGATAATAAAAAAGCCTTATATTCATAAGCAACTTTGGTACACTTTCAGCGTTTTATACACCATTTTATTTTTTATTTTAATAACTCTTCCCTTTTAATTCAGTTGTTTCTTGGCCTGAATGAAGATTGAACATGGCATAAAAAAGGATGGAATATTCCATCAGTGACTGTTTTAAAAGAACATGTTTAAATATATATTATGTCATTAATAAGTAATCCGGGTATGTGTTGTACCCGACGATGTAGTTTAAACTAATAAAATTGTTTAGAACCTTTGACGAAGAGGGAACTAGAAAGCTTAATCACCTTGCTGGGAGGAGTTATCGGACTGAGTTGGTTGGTGACTGGTTCTGGCCGTGGGCTGGGAGGGGGTTGTGACGACACCAGGCCATGAGCGACACATGCAGCGCATTCCCTCGTCAATGCTGCTGTAAAGGGTGGTCAAGTGCCTTCCACATCCCCCCCAAGAGTACCGCCCACAGGTCCTACACTCCACCCTATAACACATCCTTTTAGTTTTCTAATGCTGCCTCCCTTGCCAGTTTAGCATCACATTTTATAGCAAATCTATTCCAGTCATTGCTAGCACTTCGTTAACATCAACTTTGTTTCTTTTGTCTCCTATGGCACCTACCACGAGGCCAGCTCGCTACTGAAGATAACGCCTTTGCTTAGTTTTTCGGTTATTCCATTTCACATATTCCATTTAGCATCCACTCTTAGTTGCCTTTTCGAAACCTTCATGGACCAGATCTTGCGCTGGACCATTGCCATAATGCCACGTACATCGGTATAACCGTTGCAGAAAAACATCACCTTCACAACTTGTAGGTCTGTTTCATTTGTTTAATTATTTATTATCAATCATTTAATTAATAAATATTTATCAACAACCAATTAATTATATATTTATTAATTTATTTGTTATGAAATAACTAATTAAATAATTAGATAATAATAATCCTAAATCCTAATTCTGACAACAAACAACGAGCATCAAATTAAAACTCCTTCCCTTCAAAATAGAAAAAAGGAGGAACAGAAAGAAGAGTGGAATTTTCAGACAAATGCCTCGACTTGTCAGTATTGTGTGGAACGGAAATGAGATCGGACTCGTCATCGTTATTTCATCATCCATCAAAATCTATTCCCAAACAACAAAACCAAGCCAAACCTTAAAGGCACATGCATCTGACAATTGACAGTATTTAGCATAATTAAAAAACATTTTCATGGTTTTTGTATGAGTAACATTTAAGTGTTTTGAAATTAGTGAAGAGATCAATTAGCCACATATTAAACCAATAACGAGAATATATGGCAAAACACTTTCCCTGAAAATAGTTGATCATGGAACTTGCTAGAATTTATCTTATCAATACTTCAGAGTTACCAAACGTATGGTTACATTCAAAGTTCAAATTAAACACTCCATACAATCGAACTATGACCTAGACACATCAGCATGCATTGCCGTCACCTTTGTCTCCAGTTGATTCTAACGCTGGTTTCTTTGCTGTGCTTCCATCTGCCGCACCAGCATTTGATGCCCGCTTAACTCCTCTTCCTACCACACCAAGGTGTGTGACTCCAGCAGATCCATTGGTGTGGGCAGTTGAAATGGTTGGTGAGTCAAAACCACCACCGCTGTTGGCAGTAGCCAACTGTGAGGAACTCACTGTTCCTGGAGATGCTTTCGCACAGCCTGCCTTGGCAGCTGCTATTCCTAGGATCTCCGAGAGAATTGATTTTGGGTTCGAGACTAACTGTTGCAGATCTTCAAGCTGCAATTCCATAAATTCCCATTTATATCAAAATAACAACATTGGACAGATTTATCTTTAAAAAAGTTTTTCAAGTCTACCTTCTTTTCCAGCTCACTTGAGAGACCTGTGAGAGTTTCAATCTCTGCTTGTTTATCCACAACTGAGATATTCGACTCAGACCTGGGGCATGTTTTTGCATCTTGCTCTAAATCAGAAGCAGATGTCAAATCCAAACTCTTTACTTCATTTGTGAGACGACTCAATCGCGCTTTACAAACAGATGTAGCCTTCTGGCAATAAGCAATTGCTTCTTGAGGCTTAGAACTAACCTCCAAACACAAGCATACACGGAAATTTCTATAATCATGAGCTAAGGCTGTCTAGCAATGGAAGAGAATATATTTGGTTATCTGCTTATCTTAAATTGCAGACTTCATTAACGTGAATTAAGTACATTACTGCACCTACGTTTCATTATTCATAATCATTTAAACCAGCAAAGTCTACAGACACTGGAAAAATCACACTACATAAGAATTATCCCAAGGATACAAGTCAGCAATTTTTCTATCGTCTGGTTCAACCAGCTGTTCTAAGATTGATAGTGCCTTCCGGTAGTCCGAGAGTGAAGTTTCAAAATCCTCTGTATAGAACAGAACCAAGAAATAATCCAGCTTTCAGTATAATTATGTCCCCTTTATGTGTGCTGGAGAAGGTATCAATTAAATTTAAAATAAACATAAGCACATGAAAAATACCTCTTTCCAATGCAACATCTGCCAAGGTTGATAATATATCCACTTGTTCCATTGTATTGACAGATTGCTTTTCAACAATGGCTCTAGCAATATCTAGCATTTTCCATGCCAAGTCCAAGTCAGTCTCATCTTCATCAGCTTCCGCCAAGTCTTCAGCATCACTATCCTCACCATCTTCTTCCTGGTCATTCTTAGTGGACCCTGTTTCATATTTTAAAATACAGAACTAATGATGAGAAACTGGTTTACATGCCAACTACAACTTTTGCTGTAATCAAATCATAAAATTTATTCAGAAAAGAGAATAACATATAATATACTTCTCCTACAAAAATGATTGTATGCTAGATTTAATAAATTTGGTAATGAAGGTTGAAATTGTGACACAAGGTGACAACTTCTAACAATTATAGGAGGTATTATTGCACATCTTATTTTGCATATTTCCTGTATAATATGCATTAACCATAAACCTTTTTATCCCACTTAGTCCATAGCAGGAGCCAATTCACTTCAAACCTCACCATTGGTTCCATGCATGTAAATGTGTCAAAGGAAAGGTCTGATTAGTTAGCATAAACACCTTAGAACATATTTATTTTTAATTTGTTGCAGGTATTGAACAGTTTGTAAATCAAGCTAACCCATGTCTGCAGACATAAAGAATGCTCTAGTGACTCCAAATAAAAGGCAAATCTCACAATTCTCACCACTTTCCCTTATTTTGCAATTAGTGTGCACGATAGCGCAGACCACAAAAGTACATAAAAATGAAAGCATGTTTTCTATGCCAATCTTGGTAAAATGTAATCATTCTTTGTGAAAAACAACAGACAAATTTATATAACATCTATAGCCATATAAAGACCGAAGAGGCACGATTGGAACACACTGACAAAATCAAACTATATATTATAAACAAAACATAAAACTACTAAGCAATAAGACCTAGAAGCAACACACTGACCATCATCCACTGCTGCACCCTGGTCATTTGAAGTCACATCCTGCTCAACATTGCTTGAAAAGGATGCAGTAGAAGATTCAGCATTCATAGAACTCTTCACAGATCCATCTTTATTGGAGCCATGCTGAGATCCATCCTCCTTCTTGGGCACATCAGCCAAAGGATCAGCTTCCTCCTGAGCTTTGTACAAAAGTGCACATCCATATTTGTAGTATGTGTGAACACACTCAGGAGCCAGTTCACCATAATGGGAGACTCTGTTTTGATTGAATTTTTCTTTTAGAACATTGTTCATAGAACATAATGAAGCCTAGAAATGATTTATGATTTGTAGATATTCTTGGATGTGCACATGTTCAGATTGTACATAGGACCAGTAGGAGCATCGAGTTGGTTTGGAAAAATCTACTGGAGGGACTAAAAAAATTGGAAATATCAAATTAGCTATCATTTTCTACCAGTTTGCAAACTACTTTATACATTGTGTAAACCCCAAGATCTTTCCAATATCTATGCTGACTATGCATAATTGGTTACTTGACATAAAATGCCATCTATAATAGCTACGAGCATATCTTGTATAAAAAACACAAGATTTCATTTCATGCATCAACATTTCTTGAATTCTGATAATTCAGAGTATAAAAATCCATTCCATTGAGTATTGAGCCTGTGTGATGCCATGAATGTATAATTATCAAAGCTAACCGTCCCTATCATGGAATATGTGAAGAGCACAAGCCATAATATCTTATACATGCAATGCATCCATTGGATGGATGACTTTCTAGTGAGAACAAGCACTCCTACCCTAAGGCAGAATTTTCCCAACTTATTTCTTAATTTTTCTTACTGAAAGTTCAAACTCCATGCAGAGGTGAACAATTATAAAATGAACAGAGTATTCTACAACAAAATTATAGAAAAATAAATAAAAAGAGAAGCATCTCATAAATAACACTGTTTCAGTAGGTTGCTACAGGAACAGGATCGAACCTGATCTCGAGAGCACGACTAAAGTTATCAGCAGCCTCTCCAAAATCGTTCTCTTTCATGGCCTTGCTTCCCTTATCCATAAACTCATCCGCCAACTCCAGAGACTTCTGAGGATCGCTACCAGATGCCACACTAGAAGTTTCAGCGTTGGACACAGACTCTTCGCCGCCTTGCGCTGCCGCATCGACAGAGATTCCACTTTTGTCGTTCTCAGCAGGGTTTAGGGCTTCGTAGACAGTGACAGCTTCCGCGGGTTGAGCCATTGTGACTGAAGTTTCAGATGCAGGAGCTTCTTCCGCCATTGCGAAGCGAATTTCCCTTCAACTTCTGATGGAGGGAAAGAGGGGAGAGCGAAGGTTTATGCAATTCACCTAACGAGGGTTTGGGGGTTTTGAGGGATTCTTCTTTTCTGGCGCAAAATGTGAAAATGAAAAGAGACCCGAATTGGAATGGGCCGTTTTACCCGCATCGTTTTCTGAATTGCTTTGTCCACGTGTCAAACTGATAAAGGTAGATTCTGTAAGGGCGTTATCGTAATTAAATAAATCAGTTAAAGTTTGCAGAAGCCAGTGCCACACGTAGAGGATCAGTGTGGTCGTGGCCATGGTTTATGCAATCTCGTCACCGTTCTCAACTCTCTCGTTTCGCCGTCTCGTTGTGCGCAATGCCACGCTGTCTTCGTGCAAGCCGCACGTTGCAAAGCCTGCAACGGCATTACCCGCCAACGGACGGAGGCAGTTGCTGTTCTTTCTAACGGCGTCGACGGCGTTGACGGCAAGGGAAGCGGCATCGGTGGCACAGGATATTCCCTTATTTGGGATACGGAAGAGTTTGAAGAAAGTAGAGGAGGAAGCAGAGGAGATTGTGCGAGAGGGGTTTAAAGCCGCGGACAAGGGGCTGGAAACGGCAGAGCGGGGACTGGAGACAGCGGAGAAGGAGCTGGTGTCGGCGGAGAAGGGAATAGAGGCGGCGGAGAGGAATATATCGTCTGCGGTGAGTTTTGGGGGTTTGGCGCAGGCGGGTGCGGTGGCGGGAGCAGAGTTTTTGGGCGTTTTAGTTGCATTGGCAGTGGTGAACGATATTTTGGGCCCAGAAGCCCAAAAGTCGTGAGTCATGTATTTGTGTGAAAATTCAATTGCATATATTTGTGTGAAAATTGATCTATCATTCTGTAAGATTGTTCTCGCTTTATGTGTTTATCTTTGTAGCTCTGTGATCATATTGTGTAAATGTATCTGTGAACTATGCATATAGGCTTGTTCTTATGTTTTGGAATCGTTCAGAATGATAGATATATTGTTGAGCATTAAGGAGTTCCTCACCAATCATATGATGGTAGATAATCAACTTGGATTTTTTTAATAATAAGTGCATTTTTTAATTTTGGAATTATAATTATTCGCTTAAAAATATATCCTCTGAAACACACTGTTACACACAAGAGTCACAGGGTGCATAAATATAATCGAATACAGTTTATTTAAATCTTATTTTGCATGGTCAATTTCTATGGGATTGTTTTGTTGCATGGAATGAGAATAAATTTGGATGAAAAAAAAATCATCAATAAGAGGTGACCTTTATTTATACCGTATGTGCTTTGTACAAATATTGATTTTTATTTATGAGCTTTTACTATGGCTCTTTTAAGTTTTTTTTTAAATAATATTTTATATACTTTTTAAAATAAATTATTTTTTATTTATTCTAATAATTTTTTTGTTAAATTTGTGCATAAGTTGTTATTTAAAAAATTTAAATACTTTATTAAGTTGTTTATTTAAATGCATTATATATAAATTGAATATTTCTAGATCATGTTTTTGTATTGATTGGTTTTGAGAATTAATTTAAAATAATCTGCTAGATGTTATGAAAGTAATTACTTTTAAATGAAAATTTAATAGTTTTTAAAATAGTAAAACAGTAGAAGGTTTAGTATTTCATTTTGTTAAAATACAAGAAACCACCTTCATTTATAAATCAATTAAAACAAACAGATTAATAATTTAATTAATGTCTAGAAAAGTTGTTTGTCTTCATTGGCAATATAAGTATACTAGGCCGTATGAGTAACAGGGAGCAATTGAAATGCTGTCTTATAAGGACTTTTTCTACCTAGTAAGACAGCTACATTGGGTTAAATAATTCATAAAGAGCAAATCAAACCTTGTCTTACAATAATTGATAGAACCTTTTAGTAATCAGCTATTTAAATTTCATCTTACTACTAAATTATTTTAATTCATATATATTGTTTTAAAGTAAATAAAAGATAAACACTGTAATATCATTTAATTTACTAAAATACTTCATCTCATACTCTAAGATTGAAAAAAAGAAGAAGAAGAAGATAAATGGCGTAACATGGTTTTGAATTTTTAAAATAATTTAAATAGCTAAACATACTTTTAAAGAGCGTTTAGTTTGGAAGATTTATTTAATTTTTCTTTAATTTTAAGTTAAAATGTTTATTTTCATTTTTAATATGAATATATTAAATATTAAATTTAAAAAAAAACCCTTAATTTGTTTGCGTCCTTATGATCAAAGAAAACTTAATTTCCACCCGTGAATGTGAGAAAAATTTATTCCATAGTCCTACATATCTATAAAATAGTTTTTTCCCAAGAATTATTCATTTCTTAAAATATAAAAAAATAGTTTTATGTCACTTTCTTAAGAATATTAAAACATTTCTATACAAAACGTCATTTAAATTAATCTTAGATTGATATTATTAGTTTTTTGCATCCATGACTTAGAGTTCTTGTTAATTTTTTTATAACTAAAATTTAAGGATGAATAAGAAATGAATAAAAGTTTTGTATTCTAACTGAATACGACAAACCAGAGATAAATTGAAGTTGAACTTGATTATTTTTCAATAGAAAAGGAAGAATAAAAATAAATTATTAGCGGTGCTGTTGCTATCTGAAACTGAGCACGGCACAGATTAATTAGTTCCAAATTGCTTGCCAATAACCTCTACCAAGTAACCACAAGATTTTTATTTGGTACCCCCCCCCCCCCCCCCCCCCCCCCCCGTCAATGGCTCGTCTCTCTTCAAACCCCATCGGTTTCCATAGATTCCGACCATGCTTTCAAATTCCTCAACCCCCTCACTTCATTGCAATTCCTCGCCACAGTCACATCAATACCCGCAAATTCCAGACCTTAGCTTGCCAAACAAACCCAAACCTCGACCAAAAGGACTCCTCCTCAACAACGGTACTAATATTATGTTTCCCCTTTTGCTTTCTGATGTTACATCTTACGAAAACAAAACAACCTACCACGTTGTATATTTCATACCTTAACTTCCTCTAACCTTTACTCTCTGCTCTCAGTCTCAGGAAGAAAGATTAGCGGTTGAGCCCAGCATGGTAACCAGTTCAACTTCGGACACTCCGTCTCTTCCTCAATTGCCAACCAAAGATATCAACAACAAAATCGCACTTGTTTCTACCTTAGCAGCTCTGGGACTTTTCTTATCCTCAAGGTTGGATTTCGGTGTCTCTCTCAAGGATCTCTCTGCCATGGCATTGCCTTACGAAGAGGTTTGTTTAATTGTTTTCCATGCTTACCCATTTCATTATCTCTATCATGTCACACAAATATAATTTGGTATTTGTACCGTGATGTTGATGTTCCAGGCTCTCTCGAATGGAAAGCCCACTGTGGTGGAATTTTATGCAGATTGGTGTGAAGTGTGTCGTGAATTAGCTCCTGATGTCTACAAAGTGGAGCAGCAATACAAGTAATCACCTCCTTTTGTTCATGTGTCCCTTTTTATGCCTTGCAGATTTGCTAGTCCTTCAGGAAATGTCACCATTTATAATATAGCCCATATTTTGCACGAGTTGAAAAACATTAATTTTATTAGTACTGATTCACAATATTAACACCATTTAATTCTCAATACAGGGATCGAGTGAATTTTGTAATGTTGAATGTTGATAACACGAAGTGGGAGCAAGAGCTTGACGAGTTTGGCGTGGAGGGTATTCCACACTTTGCATTCCTTGACAAAGAAGGGAATGAGGAGGGCAATGTAGTGGGTAGGCTTCCGAGACAGTTCCTGCTTGAAAATGTGGATGCCCTTGCTCGCGGAGAAGCATCTGTTCCTCATGCTCGTGTTGTAGGCCAATATTCAAGTGCTGAAGCAAGGAAGGTGCATCAAGTTGTTGATCCAAGAAGTCATGGTTAGATAACAACATATACAGCAACTCATTTGATTTGTCAAGGAGCAACATCTGAGCATACAAACAACTCGTTGCTCTTGTATACCCTTATTTCATAGTCATCACAAGCTTATTATATTATGAATCATGCCTATTTGTCATAGATTAGGATCTGAATCTAGATATCTACCGCAATTGTTAGCTCAAATGTCTATATTAATGCAAACTTGTTATAGGTAAAAATGCACTTCAATGCTTACAAGTCTGCTACTCTACTCATTATCTGTTTTAGAACAATTTATATCTGTTCCCTGGGAGTTTGTATTCTCATTCTATTGCCATTCTTATTTAAGAATGTTTTATGTGAAATGCCTCTACTATTAATATGGTTATAAGAGGAAAAAAAATGATATTTTTGACAAAAATCACTTAAATAGGAGCGACAGTGGACACTTAAAAGAGTGGTAATAGATACACTCCTACCCACCCACCCCACCCCCTTTTTATATTCTAAATTCGTGTAACTCTTGCTCAAACACAAAGTCCTCGTTTGGTGGAGACAATATGTCTGGTGTTTTGATTATAATTCACGTAAGAAATTAAACTGACATCTCGAAACATGTTTGAAATTTTATGAGACTTGTGATGATTACATGTTGCAAGTTTGGAACCAACAGTGTGGTTATCCTTTGCTGTTTTCTACAATGTTTGTGTCTTCCTGTTGCTTGGATACTCTTCAAATTCTAGGGGCCAATTCAGATTCAGCTATTTTATTAATGAACTTTCGTAGCTAAATTGTTTAACTTATATGTTTTTCTAAAACATCTCCAAGTTAATAGAAACAATATATTATTTTTTTTAAAAGACAGCAAAAATAGGGCAGGGCACAAGCATTTCTGTCGTAATTCCTGTCATAGGTTTACTGACAACAACAATGACACTGAAGCAGCGTTTAAGGCAAAGACATGTACGCATCATGTTTTCACGTGGCGTCAAGTTCTGCCTGTACTTAGGCATAACTTGGACTACTCAGACGCCAAAAGCCCATTAAATTTTGCGCATTTCCATCTTTAGCTGCCATTACTAAATAGACAATTATAATCAGCCGAAGGTGCTGGCTTTTCCACCATAATTATACGTAGTACATTGAATTTTGTATATTGATTACTGATGATTTATGCAAATAAGCTGTGGAAGTTGTTAGTAAAGCAGAATCCTAATGACAATCATACACAAAAATAGCTACAGCAATAACTGCGTAAGAGAAAAGAAGTGTTATATGCCTTTAGTATTCACATTGCTAGAGGCTATCCACCCAAAGTATATGTCACCGAACGACATTTCCCAACAAGCTGTTTGTTGAAGGTGAACTCTGTCCACTTGACCAACGATCATGCACTGATACAGGTGAGTTGTCTTTCACCTCCACAGATTGCAAAAAACTCTCGGTTTTCTGTGGGACAATCAATCTCTCACTCCCTTGCCCACTTTTCTTAATACCACCAAGTGACTTCTCACTTCCATGACGAGGTGATGAACTTGCAGAGCCAACAGATGAAGCCATGATAGTTTCTTCCATAGTTGCCCATCCGCTGTGTCTGATGTGTTCTAGCTCTTCTGCCACTTCCATCATAGTAGGCCTCATGTCACTATGAAAAGCAAGGCATCTAAATGCAATCTCAGCCACCTTATGAATAGAATATAGTGTCCAAGCATCTCTATGTGGTTCAAGGAAAGGATCTACGATCTCATCTACCGCACCCCTCCTAATCCTATCAACAGCAAGTGCAGCCAAGTTGACCTCACTCTGAGGTCGAGCAAAATCAACCACTTTCAAGGCAGTTATTATCTCCACCAAAACTACTCCAAAACTGTAGACATCACTTTTATCAGAAAGATGAAAATTCTGATGGTATTGTGGATCAACATAACCTGGAGTCCCTTGTGGGGCAGTTGAGATATGAGATGTTTCTGTCATTCCAAGCCTAGAAAGCCCAAAATCAGCCACTTTAGATTTGAAGTTATAATCCAAGAGTATATTACTGGATTTTATGTCTCTATGGTAAATTGGAGGATGGATTGCAGAATGGAGATATGCTATAGCATTAGCAGTTTCAGTAGCAATGGTAAGTCGTATTGTCCATGGAAGTCCTTTACCACTCTCTCTTTGCAAATGCTGAGACAGTGTTCCATTTTGCATATATTCATAAACAAGGATCTGTTCCCCCTTCTCTATGCAGCAACCTAGGAGACGAACTAAATTTGGATGACTCACTGAAGAAAGGAGCTTGATCTCATTCATGACTTGGTCAGCACTGTTGGTGTCTCTTTGCCTTAACTTCTTTATAGCAACCCACTCATCGTTGTGAAGTTTTCCAGCATAAACTGTACCAAAAGCCCCAGTTCCTAGCCTGTGTTTATCAGAGAAAGAATTTGTAGCTCTTTCAATTTCTTTGTAAGGGTAGAAAGGTACGCTAGAATTGCCTGCAGCTTCACGTAATAGGCGCTTTACTCTGGTATGTTTTCCCAACCAAGTACAACGGCGCCTGGCACAGTAGTACAGAAGAAACAGAACAGCTACGACCAAAGTTCCAGTAATGATCACTGCAAGGTGTGAACAATCACCCAGCATTAATCCAAATGCCAAATTTCAGAAGTACATTTTTCCATGCATGTTTGTTTGTATCAGGATCGATGCCGTATAAGTAAGTAAATGGGAAAAGAGACATGAAAAAACATGCTTTCAACAATAGTATACTGATTAACACATCAACAAAAATACTCGTATGAAAAGGCTCTGATAGTAAATCTGCTAGATAGATTTAAGGTTATAATGTACCTCCAACAATAAAACCGATTTTGGTTGCTTTCCCACATCTCCCAGACGTTAACGTTGAAGCACTGCAACTTGGAGCTGAAGCTGATGACAAGGCAGCCATTGAGAAAGAATTAGAAAAATGACAACATTTTTACTAAAGGAATAATGAAAATATATTAATCACCATTCCTGATTGAGTAAAAAATAACTTCATTCATTTTTCACCTTTTCAAGACACGATTGATACTGATCAGGATTTGTTCACTTGATTTTTATTAATTTCTTATTTGTTTGAAAATTCTTATAGTTTTAGTTATAAACCATGTTGAATTAAAAAACAAAAATAAACACGTTCCAATATGCAAACTCTAGATGTGGCACAGAAAATCTTCCTCGGTCCCACCTATGGTTATTATTTTTGTAAGATATGTAGTAGAAATCGTAATTCGCATCACACTCAATCTGTTGTCATAACTTGGAATGACAAGCAAATGGTCGGTGATGTCGAGATGCTTAAGGTCACAAGTTATTACCTTAATATTAGGTCATTTCTTAATATTGATTCTCACGTTGATAATGTATTGTCACCGATCTCACCCTTTTGACCACAACTAACACAAAGAAAATTCAAATCCATCCAACCACGCATGTGCAGCCAGAACATGTTGACTTTCGATTTTTGAAGGGTTATTTGTTTGGTGAAGTTATCATTCAAAACAAGAACACATCCCCACAAAAATTTCAAATAGGTGATTTGGATAAAATAAGTGAAATAAGTGTATATTAAAACTGATTAATTACACACACAAAGACGTAATATATAATAATTTGTTATATAATGATTTACGTAATATTTATTACATATAATAGTTCGCGTAACACTCATTTTTATTTAAAATTTAATATATAAATAATAGTTTGGGTGAAGTAAATAATAAAATATTTATAATTACACTTATTTTCATAAATTTTTACGAATGAATATTCACATTTAGACTAGACTTAAATTTATGTAACGGATTTTTTTTTAATTATGAACATATTTTTAATACTAGTTAAAACAGGATCAATGTGTTCCCATCCCTAGCCCCAACAGAACAAATGTTCCAGTCATGAGGGCCCTTAATAAAGGCACACGCTGCCCTTTCTATCATTCCCGAGCTAAGGAAATCGATTTTAAAGATGCATCTTTCATGTCAGTTGTCAAAATGATAATTCAGCAAAACAAAATTTGCAAGTTTTCTGTAAAGGAAAATACTAAAGGTAATAATTAAGAAATTAGAAGTATTTTTAAAAAATATATATATAATGCACATGCCTTTTTATAATTTTAATCCAATTTAATTAATTTTAATTAAAATTTATTAATATTTTAATAAGTGTCCTTTTGACATTTATTGGCAAATGTAAATATATAAATACTTTTATTTATAAGAAATAAATAATTAATTTATTAAATTAATAAAAAATATTTATAAATCATAAATTTATATTTTTAAGATGAATGAATATGTCCAAGATAAATAGTAGATAAAAATTAAATCTTGTGTTAATTTAAACCTCGCAATAAATTAAAATATAAAAAATTAATAATTAATGTATTGTAAAAAATTGATTTCTTATATTTGAAAAGAAAAATTAATAGTAGTTTGTTATAAATAAAATTGAAGTAAAGTGCAAACTCCTGAAAACTAAGTTCTCTGTTAAGTATGAACTATACTAGGTTCCTAGCATGTTATGAAGGTGTTGCAATGCAACATGGTTAATTGGCGAGCACATAAAGCCGCAACCAGGTGTTAAATCCCCAATTACCCTGTCAAACCATTATTATTATTCTTCCACAAGCAAGTACCAAAGCACAATAATAAAAAAAAACAAAAGCAAAATACCACATAAACTACATTCATGATATAAACAAAAAAATTTTGGAATCTGAACTCACCTTTCCGGCAACCGGTGCCGTTGATGAATCCATCTCCCCGAAAACCATCTTGGCACTGACAGCGGAACCCGAAGCTTCCTCCGTGGAGATGGAGTGGTGTGCAGGTAGCGTTTTCAGAGCATTGACACCCCCCTTGAAGCCACCATCCCAACTCTACCACCTGAAATTGCAGCGAAATCTCTTTGCTATGCCCAAAAGTCACAGCAGAGAACAAGTAGTTGCACCCAGTTTGGTTCAAATCCTCGTATTTAACAACACTCACTTCGTTATCTTTTTGTGGCTGCTTCGAAAAGCAACTTATATTACCACTTCTATTATCGCAACTTTCCACCTCAATCTCGCTTCCCACAAAACTGGAAGCGGGAATAACGCACCCACCCAACACATCTCTACAATCTTGCACCAGAAAGCTATTGTTCAGAGTGGGAGCAAACTTGGCACCGAAAAGTGGATGAAGGGATTGTATGCTACGGTTGCATTTTGCAGGGAGATTGATGAATATGTTGCTATTGGTTACGTTCTGGACCAGAAACTCACCGATTTGGACTTGGCTGTTGTTACAGTTCAATTGGATTGGACAACCTTCGGAGAAGCCAAAAGGGTACTGCAGGGTTTGCCCTCCGCATTTGTTATTGCAGCGTGTGAAGTTTTGTGCTCTTGTTGTGATCGCCATGAATATTGTGAGAACGATAGCTAAATTTGTATGTTGGGGAAGAATCATTTTTGGATGCAAATTGAACTGGCCTCAACTGGGCAATCAATATCATCACCCTTGTGAAAATAAAACAGAAAGTCAACCTGAATTGCCCAAAGTTTGGTCGTTTAAGAAATTAGAACAAACATAGTAGTTGTAGTAATATTTCTGGGATGATGGATTAAATGAGAATTAAAGCTTGTGATCGATGCCGTTGGGTAGCCATCCATCTTAATAAATGCTGGCTCTTAAAAGAGAAACAATAAAGTTTTAATGGAAAAAATGTTTAAAAAAAACTGAAATTTCCAAGTAATTGTGTTGTGAGACATAAATATGCAGCATACCTTCAAGGTTGTGCAAAGGTTGAAATTAATGTGTAGCAGTTGAAGGAGTAATTCACCACACCCCCTAGAAAATCTAATTTTGAAGTTGAATGGCTAGAGTGAAAACAGAATAATAAATTTTCTTTTTCTTTGTAAAGAAAATAGAAGAGTCATCCCTTGTCTGCTTAACGTTCTTCTCCAAGAGAAAACCATAGATCGAAGCAGGGGCATGAGCATAGGATGCAAATTGAGGGGTACTCTAATCAGAGACTTCGCCTCATTCACACTTGTTTTGTGGGTCCATGTCCAGGAAATATCACTTAATAAAATACTACATGTGCCCGTCGACATCATTTTTTATTTTTTGTTCAATGAAATGCCGAATATACCCCTCATCGAATTTTCTACTACACAAAAAGCCCCCCTTCCCTGCCTCATATTACCAGCATTGCACGTTTAGTTTTAGTCAAAACAAGCCAAATAATACAGTGTTTGACTTATAGGGGAGAAGTTATCTGCTTTCAGACCTACACATATGTTCGCTTTTCAAATGTTCTACCGTCACACTTTTACTAGCTCCCTTCTATTGTTAGATTCATAAAAACTATAACATTTTTTATGGATATTTTAACTCCCCACTTCAACCCTTTCATCGTCCGTTTGTGTAGTATGATTAAGATTATTGAAATAAAATTGTCCAAATGTCCATGCATTGACTGTAAAATGAAACATGTTTCCCTGAGCTTTGTTACTTTGTTATGACAAATTGATGTATGATCAAATGATATATGATTGCACGACCGGAACAACGTTTAAGGACTTTGATTGGTTTTGCTTGCTAGCACGAAGGAAAAATATGAAACTAAAATAAATAGAAAAATAAAATAATCAACTGAGCCTCCGTGACGGCTAACGATGAGGTTTGACTCGGCGAGCCGTGGTGGTAGATTTTTGTTAGATACTTGGCTAGATGTAAGATGGCAAGTGTGACACAACAAAGACCACAGTCGAGTCACTGTTTATCAATTGAATATTAATTAAATAATATTGTTGTTTATTTATCCACAGCCAAAATAGTTGACTATTATTATTATGCGCGACTGTGCCAGTTACGATTAAAGAATTAGATTATCCAATCTCATTCAATTATCTGTCTTTTTTTTTTTTTTTGGTAAAATTGTCTGTGTCAAATTAACTAAAACGTAATTGTCAATTCATTACTCAGGAATAACATTAATAGACAATTTAAGATATTATTATTACAATGTCTGAATGCGCCTGTTTTAGGGCAACGACATTTTTGCGGCTAAATCTAAAATTGGTTTGTTATGTTCCCTCAATCCCTTCCACTGTAGTCGTATTAATTTAGTTGTATCTCAAATATTTGAATTTATAACGGGAGCGCATAAGGGTATGAGAAAAAGGAAAATTAAAAGAAAAAAAAAATAGTGATAGGAGAAAGAAGGTAAATATGGTGCAGATGGTCATGTAATTTAAAAAAAAAAACATTTAGAGAAACGATTTAAAAGCATTGCATAAAAAGATTAACCCATAAAAATAATATAATAAAATTAAAATAGGTTTTTTTTAATTTTTAATATATTACACCATAAATTTTATAAAAATAAAAAAATTATAAAAATCGTAAATGATTTATACAAATTGTCTTTAAGGTTTTTAAATACCATGTAATTATAAATGGTTTGATGAAGGGACCTGGGTGGGAGTGGTGGAGTGCGCGGAAAGTAGCCTGCATGACTGTGCTTCGCGTCACAAATTAAACTAACAATTTATAATATTGTGATTTGAAATGGTAGGCATGAAATCACATCTTCAAGTGGACAGGTTAAAGGCACATAGTATTTCATCGTTGCCAAAAGTCACTTGAATCACAAAGCATTCAGCAGGTTATAGTATAGTGTAGTTTGATCTAAAGGTAGCAATCGAGAGTCAACAAAACATGGAATGGAGCAAGAGAACAAGTTTGAGTTTTGCTTGATGTATTTACATGAGTATTCGTAAAACTGGTTTAAAATCATCTTAATCTTATAAAATTAATCTGAATTACAATTCAGTTTAAAATGCATTGTGTATGTTTAAAATTTTTGTATTTCAAATGTAACTTTATAACAAATTTTAACTTAAACTCATCGACTGAAAAAAAAAAAGAGTTTTAGTTGAGAGGATTTATTATATTTTTAGAAACTCAGGTTTATGATTGTTAACATGCGTCGGAGGGTAAATCCAATCACACATATAATTACATACGGAAAGTAATGTTTGAATTTGCTAATGCTTCCATTGTCATATCATACTTTAGTGTTGCTGAGGCTAATACGGATGAGATTGAACATGAGATCAATGGCCATCGTTGCAAGTAGGAGTGGAAACGTTAATTTTTCAAGACGCACGCAGTATTCTTTGACTGTCATACAAGGAACCAGGTGAAAAGACTACGCAAGATAATTAATAGCATAATATACAGTCATCAACTCGATCCTGTTGTGGAAACACTGTGCCTTTAATATTTTAGTTTGTTAATTTTAAATAAAAAACAGTTTAATCAATTTAATTTGTTGGAGAATTAACTTTTTATAAATTTAAAAATTAAATGAAAAATAAGCTTAACTTAAATTAAAGGAGGGAAATGTAAATGTCAAAACAAAAAAAAAAGGGTGGCCTAAAAAGCAGTTGTTCAATTACGTGTACAGGTAGGAGGGCAGATAATTCCACAAGCCAGACATTTCGTAGCCATGGGCAGCCCTTGAGTTTTTGACTTCTGTGCCCTATACGACATTTTAAAAAAAAATTCAGCACAATTAATATTAAATAACTCATTTATAATCGAGAACAAAAGAAAGTTAAGTACATTATGAACATGTTTATGAACTAGAGCTTAAGAACAGTTTTACTCGAACAAATAGCTGAAATTTGTACTTTCTTGGAACCAAAGGACCGTGTGCTAGAATCATTAAGTGCTGTATAACCGCATTTTTTGTGCACACAATAACGATTTTAGGCTTATCTGCGTAAACACAATATCATTCCCATTTCCCCACGTCTCTGTATTCAGGAAAATTAGTCTTAAATGTGATGGGTCATTTAAAATTGATACCACTGTTTAACCGACAGATGTGGATTGTCAATTTGATCTTTAAAAATTTTAAAATTGTCATTTCAATTCTTGAGTGAAAGACATTATTCTTAATGTTATGTTACCATACCAGGCAAAATCCTTTTCAATTTCTAATATTTTTGTAAGTATATATTTTTACGAAAGTGGTTTTAATTTTTCTAACTACTACGATCTTGTATATGTTTTAATTACGTACTGTCTTATCATTATTAAAATAATATAATATTAAAAATCATTATCATGCTAAGTTTTTATCGACAACATGAATCAAAATTATATTATCTTGAAAAATACAAATAACTAATATTCTAAAGTTTAAGAAGTAGTTATCTACATATTAAAAAGCTAATGAATTAAGTATTAACTTATCAGCGCTATGTTTTATTTTTTATTATTTTTAATCTTTGGTCTAAAAATCATTTTGGTGATCTTGATTCCTAATACTAAAGTATAGTTAAATTGCAAAGCTCGATGTATTCTGTTGTTTAGTGGTGGACTGGCCTATTAGACAGACAAAGGCACTTTCTTTAAGGCCCATTGGGCCTTTCACTAACGTGAACGAGCTTAACAGATCAATAAAATCGTTTTTCTTGCAGTTTCACATTGCACAGGAAAAGATAGAAGCCAGTGGGACTCTGCCTAACCCTAGGAAGAGTTTGAAGCTCTCAACGGATTCGATTTCAAAGGAGAGAGAGAGAGAGAGAGGGAATTTGGAAGTGGCATCGATGTCAGATAGAGACAACGATTTCGACTCCCCTGAGGAATTCACGGCTGAGCAGGTCTCTATCTCTTGCTGTTTTTCTTGTTTTCGTTTCAACGACTCAAATCAAAATCAAAATCGAACTCTAACTTTCTTTTTTCTTTTTGTTTGGAACAAAATCACTGCTTAATACCAACGTGCGTTTCGCAGGGTTTACAACAAGACGAAGAGATTCGAAGGATTCAAAGAGAAAACAAGGCCAGGTATTGCTTTAACCTGTGTTTACCTACTTATGAAGTTCAGTTTATTAATCTACGTTGAGAGATGAATTGGAAATAAAAAATCTTATTTTTCCTTAATGGCAGGAATTGCTTTTAACTTTCTTTGCAATATGCATCACCTGAGTTGTATTAGAATTTAACAATACATCAACAATAACCAAGCCTTATACTAGGCGAGGTCAGCACACAATGCCATTGAGCTCAGTCAAAAATCAATTAGAATTTATCAATATAGATAGATTTTGGGACAATTTTGAGCTTGGTCTAAATTCCATTAAGGGAATGGGTGGATACACAAACTCTCTTTCGTTGAAACATGCGGCTTTATGACCTTCTCATTGTGCTGTTTATTCATCATTTAGCATTAGGGTGCTTAATGTTTTTTTTCTGCTCAGCCTCATTTATGAGACGAGAGTTTGCATATTCATCTTAATTCTAAGGGTATTGTACTATCACTTGTTTATTATATTGTGATCCAACTGTTTGAATCATGTGGATTGATATATGATAACATTTGGCATATGTCAAATTGTTCCTACAGTTATCATTTTTTTTGTATCACTTTTTCTTATATAACCCTGGGTTAAAATATGATGGCATGCTATTCAGCTTTGTTGAAGTCACTTGTAGGATTTATTTCTATTGAATTCAATGGCTCATAATATGACTTTGTTCGGCAGGGTTGTTTGGGAAGGAAAAGAGCGTAGGAGGAAATGGGCCCAAAAAATAACACCTCGACCACCCAAAGCCAGTGAAAAATCTCAAGATGTATCGGGCACTGAACCTCAGCAAGAATCAAATACAGCTGCAGGATTTCTTCCTGACAACATTGTCCAAATGCTTGCAGCTCGTGAGAAGTATGTTTGATTTCTTTCTTTCTTGTCCAATTTCTGCATGATTGCTTGGATCTAAGGGGCTATAATTCATTTGCAGAGTAGTTTTCATATCTGACACTAATGAGGAAAAAAATGAAGTAAAGGCCACCACTTCAAGGAAGAGAAAATCAAAGAAGACAGGGTTAGGAATTTCATCCTTTTCTTATTGTATATTCTATATTGATGTATTCATATTACTTTTTATTATTTAATTGTGTGTATTTGAATTGTGATTTGTAGTTTGGAACCTGTTATTTTGAGCGAAATAGGTCCTCCTCAATGCATACACAGCGCCATAGAATTCTTGAAACAAAGAAAAATGTCTGTTCAAAGATCATCTGCAGTTTTGAACAATTCCAATCAGGCTTTGCGTCTCCTTTCTAGTTCAGGGGTGCTACACAGGAAATGAGGATTTTTATTTCTTTATTATTCGTTTTTTTTTCAGCTAAGAAAGTGAGGTTAGTGTTGTAATACATATTTTTAACCTGCTATCGTGGGTGCTCATCGTTGGTGCTGGTGTTGGGATACTGGACTGAATTGTAACCTAAATATATCCTAGATGACAGTTGCAATTATTTATGCACTTGTGTTTTCGCCGCATTTAACACCCAGCATAACCCTTAAATTACTTTTAGATGATTGAATAACACTAAATTTATCCCCACAGAATACCCTTCAATGACATCCCATGCTCAATTTGATTGGAGTTTCAGTCTGATGGCAAAGAACGAAAAAAAAAAAATCCTTATAACATGGATATTTTGTTTAGTGGAATGAATGCTACTTAACAACCGATCTAAACTGTTCGTGGCACAAAATACAAATTAAATTTTGGTTATTAAACTGCAGTGGCACACGCAAACGTTTGACGTTTCATATTTGGTCAATTTGACGAGCGTTATAACAGTTTCCTAGTTTAGTGCTTCCATATTCAATTCAATACGCGAATGGAAAATAACTGAAGCAGCAATAAAGCGATGAGGAATCTCGTCGATGGGTTGCTTAAGGTGCAGAGAAAGCGTCATCTTGTTGCAGCCATTTCTGCTCTTGGGTTGAGGTTGTATTGCCTTCAGAGCCGCCCAAAAGGCCTTCAAAAGCAGTTTTGATTCTGTTTAGGGACTTGCGGTGGCGAATGCGTTTGAGGACAACTTGTTTGTTGAGGGTTTGAGAAGATGCTTCAGAAGACGATGAGGGCTTCAAGTGGAGCTCGCTTGAGATGGCTCCAACGGTTGCAGGGTCCTTGTCCTCCAGGTGATTAAGGCCAGACTTCTCGGTCTCTGGTTCAGCTCTGGAAATCATGAAAGCCATTTTTCTGCGTTTGAGTTTGGGATAGAATGCTGCTAAACCCGAGAGTGTTGAAATGGCAGGGGAAGTTGAAATATATAATGGAAAAATCTCTACCAGTAGCAACTGGTTTCAGTTTGGGGATGTCTTACTTTTTTCTCAAAGCCTGTTGTTTTTCTCAAACAAGGGATACACACGTAAGTATCGTGGACGAGACAAAACAGTATGTGTCACTGTCCACTGACAAAAGGATTGAGATTCAGTACATTACCATGAAACCACCTAAGAGATTCAGCTGGCTGTCTCGTGTGATGTCAAACCATAGATCATAGATGTGCCCACTTTCTTCTATTCCCGGTACGCCAGTTATAATAAATTAGTTTGTTACTTTCTTGTTTATTAAAGCAAATGTTAATAAGTTACTTTAAGATTTAGTACAAAAATCATTAAAATATATTTTTTAATTAATATTTTACGACACTAACTAATAAAATTCATTTAAGTATCACAATAAAAAAATGACCCTGCATCAAAATTAAATATTATGTAACCAAAAAACAAAGGATTCAATGCCAAAGACCTTGTAATGATAAAATTTGTAATCTCTCCCTTTCTCTCTCTCTCTCACACACACACGTACTACAGAGCAAAAAAAATAAAATATTTGAGACTTACTTATCTCTTTTATTTATAACATCTTATTATTACTTTCTTTTTTTAATTAATTAAGGGACGTCTCTTTTTTTTCACTATTTTTTTTCTTTAAAACAAACAGAGTGCTATGAATAATCCATATAATAATCGATATTTAATATTTTAAAATGACAATAAAATAATTACCATTTGATTTTGTATTTAAAAATGTGAATAATAGAAAAAAATTTATATACATAATGATGATAGTATTATATAATTTAACAATTGAATCAATGAAAAAAAACTATATACAAACACTCAATTCGTAAAAGGGACTAATCAACTTTGTATAAAATATAATTTGTATTGATTCAATAATTGAAAAATAATTACATGTTAAAATAGTGTCACGGAGGACGAGAGTTTACTCAATAAACAATCAATAGTTTAATAACAATAAAAAAAAAAAAGTATCGAGCAGGAAATTTGGCTTCACATGCAGTTCAACCCTTGTGTACTAGCTGGATAGTTTTTATTATATATTGAAATTACTTTAATTTTTTTGTTAAAATAAAATAATTATAAGAATATAATTCAAAGCTTTTTATTGTTATAATATTTTAAAAATATGAATTATATTAAATTATTTTTATGCACATTAACGAGATATTAATTAATTTTAAAAGATTTATGATAAAAATATTATAAAGTAAAAATTTGTAATTCAATAACTAATTTTATGATAAAGCTATCTAATAAAAATGATTAAATAATATAAGATCTGACGTAACTTAAATAAATATAACTTAAATTTTCCACTGTTCTCTTTCTCTCTGTGTATCCATTTATTTACGTGTGGGTGTGGGAGGGTCACCAAATTGAAGTTCAATTAATTGTCTATTTTTATGATTGAAGTGCATGTAAAAATGATATAGAAGTTAAACATTTATTCAGATCTTCCTTCCAAATTCAAAACTTTGCACTCTTAGTGTAATCAGAACTAGAGAGAGAGAGAGAGAGAGAGAGAGAGAGAGAGAAACACGTTGCGTTAGCTATATTTTTAGGTTTAAATTTGAAGCAGATATGGTTGATAGATGATCTCTTCGATAGAGACAACTTAGCAGAAAAACAATGGGCTATGTTAGTAGTTTTCATTTTCAACATTAACCGATTGTGTGTCTTCTACTCTCCTTATCTATCTTTATGTCATTCCCACTTTACTCTTTTCAAGCGAAGACAATTAATTATCATCGTGGAGACGCTGGAAGAACATCAAGAGGACTAAAAGAATTTGAAGATTAGTGAGGGCTACAAATTTCAGCCGTTACCACTTATCGTTTACCTTTTAAAAAAATTGTCATGTGTGATGGGGCACTTACAGTTCTCATTTTTGCTTTCCAAAAGTTTCAAATAATAAGATTTTCTTGTACGTGTAAAAATACTCTGTAAGAAGCTAGCAGCGCAGGTGCGTTTTTTCATTCGGAATAAAAGAATAGATCATACATATGCATGAACCTCCCCATTTTAAATGAATCTGCTTCCCTTTTCTAGTTTTATTTAATATCATAAAAAAATATACTACATAATTATATAAGCTTCATCAGTCAGTGACACAGAATTCAACTTCCACGACTATATTTAAATTAAACATGCATGGATTGTTACCTCTATCCACTCTTACTGTAAACTTATATGGAAGAACCTTACCTCAAGAGTCCGGATAAAGAAACTAGACGATAATTTGAGATCAACTTCGCCCCATCTCCTTTTCTGCGACATTCACTTATTAAAACAAAATATGTAAGTTATATGTTTTTACTCCCTACAAAGTATCATAATGTTATTTTTGGTCACTTAAAAAATATTACTAAAATTAGTCCCTAATTAATCACCTGGTTTTGAAATTGGTCTCAGCCATGTAACTTCCGTTATTTTATGATGAATTAGCACGATATTTTGTTTCAGTAGCATTTATTTTAAAGAGGATAAAATTGTTTTTTTTTATAGCTTTTTAAAATTTTTATTTTTATTATTTTTATTGATTTGTATAATTTAATTAAAGATTATTTATATATAAAAAAATCTGATGAAGTAATATTTCTTTTTAAAAGTTTGTCATTCATTCCGTAGTATACATATGTGTACCTAATTTTAACAACAAAAAATCTAGTATAGAAGTTATAAAGATTGTATAATTGAATGTTAACCACGTAGTGCCTCTTGAAATGCACCAGTTTTTTTGTTGCAGGAAAAGAGAAAAACAAGCGCCAATTTTAGTCCATTGACCAAATCAAAAGTTGTTTTCCCAGGTCCAATAAGCTTGTTTACCCATTCAATGTCTAAAATTGCCCAATTGCTTAGTTTAGCAATCTGGATATCTCACCTAATCATATCATGATTCTCTCTCATTATCTAATCTTTCAACCTTTCCATTGACCATACTTTAGTTTAGCATGGAAGATAACTCGCGCAGTCACGTGCACAGAGAACGTAACACAACACAATAGCGCCACGTAGACATTGTCAACTCACCAGCAACAACTATGTGCCAAACAAAGTACCTTGTCAACCAATCCCAATCCCGAACCTCCCAACGTTCTTCGGTTTGGCACGACAAGGGATTACTAACATTTCGTCATGCGCCTATATCTCCTTAAACATTGCATGCATTTTAAATAAAACGAACAAAAAGCTTAGCCTATTCCCTTACCTTTGAATAACCTTTCGGCTTCTCAAACTATTTGTTTTACTTTGCACTTTGCATGAGTGCAAGGAAGGAATATTAATGGCAGGGTCATCGAGAAAAGGGCACATATTCGGAGACGAAGGTAGTGTCCAAGGACGAAAGTTTGGCAAGTTAAATAAAGACGATTTCGATGGTTATAACTCCGATAACCATCCAAGAAAAAACAGCCCCGTCACCATCGATGCACCCCATTTGGATCCTCAAATGGCTTCAGATAACTCTCCGTACGACCCTTCTCTTTCTCCTTTATCCAAATCTCCATGGTCCTCTCACATAAACGAAGAAGTTTCCGCCTCCAACGACAACGAAGTTCTCGTTGGCTCTCTAATTCGTGAGGAGGGTCACATTTACTCCCTGGCTGCATCCAATGACTTGTTATACACGGGGTCAGATAGCAAGAACATTCGCGTTTGGAAGAACCAAAAGGAATTCTCGGGGTTCAAATCCAACAGCGGTTTGGTCAAAGCCATTGTGATTGCAGGTGAGAAAATCCTCACGGGCCATCAAGACGGCAGAATCCGCGTTTGGAAAGTCTCTGGCAAAAACGAGCAACAACACAAGCGCGTTGCCACGTTGCCAACACTCAGAAACTACATTAAATGTTCGATAAAACCCAGCAATTACGTGGAAGTGAAACGACGGCGTAACGTGCTTTGGATCAAACACTACGACGCCATTTCCTGTCTCAGTTTAACGGAAGACCATTCCCTCATATACTCTGCCTCGTGGGACAAAACCTTCAAAGTGTGGAAAACCTCGAGCTTCAAGTGTTTAGAATCCGTTACGGCGCATGACGACGCCGTTAACGCTTTAGTTGTGGGATTTGACGGGTTGGTTTTCACGGGGTCAGCCGACGGAAGCATTAAGATATGGCGGCGCGAAGTGCAAGGGAAAGGGACGAAGCATTTCTTTTCGCAAACGCTGTTAAAGCAAGAGTGCGCAGTGACGGCCTTAGCGATTAACGAGGAAGGAACATGGTTATACGGTGGATCCTCAGATGGGTTGGTGAATTATTGGCTGAGTGATACAAAATTGGAGCATAAGGGCGTTCTGAGGGGACATAAGTTAGCGGTTTTGTGTTTGGCGAGTGCTGGGAATTTGGTGTTCAGTGGCTCTGCTGACATGGCAATATGCGTGTGGAAGAGAACGTTTAATAATGATCACACGTGTATGTCTATTTTGTCGGGCCATACTGGGCCTGTCAAGTGTCTCGCTGTTGAGAAGGACCCTGATGCCATGTGCAATGAACGCCGTTGGATTTTGTATAGTGGCAGTTTGGATAAGTCCGTTAAGGTCTGGAAGGTCTCCGAGAATCCTACCTCTGCGCCGCCGCACCACCACCCCCAACCGCCGCGGCTTAGTGTTGATCAGATTTCGAGGGGGTCGTCTTTGAGAAAATTGGGATCCAGAAGATACTAAACTAGGTTGTAGGATGGGACATCATGCAAGGACACGTGTCAGTCCGTGTTGGTGGTACTCTGTGTTCAGAGTTTAAGTATAAGTACGCAAAGTGACTGACTAATTAATTAGTTAGTGTTTGTGCACCAAGGAATGTAACGTGGTGATACCTAACGATTCATAATTTGGATATGTTTATGTTGTGTATACCATACTGGATACTGGATTGTGAATTGTGACTTTCTTCTCTCTTCTTACTCGCACAACATGTGTTCTTGTGTACAACTTTAGGGATCGTTAGTCTCTAATATGTCAAATGTTTGAATATTTGCTGGAAAAAATCACTAGCAAATGGTTCTCTTAATTCTCAGTTCAGGGATAGCTGTCACACCGATTATCTCTTAAAAAATTTAAAGAAGTTAGGTGAGAACGTTTCTTAAAAAATATATATATATAAAAACCTAAATTAATTCAATTTATTACATAGTTTTTTATTTTTGTAAGTATTTATTTAAAAAATTATTAGAGCTGAACCATTATCTATCAACTTTGTTAAACTATTAGGAGTGTGCACAATCCAATCTGATTCATCTCAAAGCAAAGGTGCGTTGGTCTGAATTTTGAAAATAAAAATTTAACGTTTTCACATCCCAACGGTGTACGTATATCCTTTGGGAAGAAAAAGACGGAGAGCGAAGATATATAAAGTAATGTATTAAATGAAAGATTCAATTTTTTCAACATACATTTAATTTTTTAATTGGTATAATTTTTTTATATAACCTGCGAAAGAATAATAAAAAAAAAGTTCTTTATGGTTTCTATTTACTAAAAAATAATTTTATCAGAGTTTTTGGATTAAAATTGCCGTGATAAAATTGGCCTAGCATTCTTTATTCGGTCTTTATAGTTTTTTGTTTTTGGGTAAATGGAGGGGAAGGAGGCCCAGAATTATAAACAAAAATAACTTGACAGTGGAATGTGTCCTGAGAATTGTGTGTTTGTGTTTTCGTCTTTACTTCTGTTTTTGATAAGCAGCATCGTGTCGAAAAAGTCTTCATGATTCCAAAAGCACCAACTTTTGCGAAAAGATGAGATTTTTATAAAATTATAAACTAAATTCATCTATGTCTACTATTTTAAGAACTAAAATATTTTTACTCATATAATTTATATCTTTGTTGGTATACAAAAACTTTATCGTACACTTTTAATAAAATTCATTTATAAATTAACTAATGTTGATCCAATTTTTATTTATAAAATATTGATATACTTCAGTTATTCAGTATGAAATATCAATGGTTAAGTTCATCAAATGATTCATTTTTATATAATTATTACACTATTTATAAGCATCCGAGGTAGTTTTTATTTTAACACATGTTGTGATGCAGTTAATTTATCAATTAATTAAAAAAGTACACTGATACATTCTTAAAATGTTTAAATCATGTTATCTCTTCATTTTATTTAAAAAAAATGTATTAATCTACAAAGTTCATCACACTTAGTAAGAAGATGAATCCTAATTCCTAACTAATAATGTAAAAACGTGCACTGTACTTGGATACCTTTTAATATGAACAGCTAGACAATTATGAGCAATTATTAATAAACACTCTTGAGAATTTTTTACTTCATTAATTACTGTGAATGTCACCCATATTTTACTTAGTATTAATTCAATCTTTAACTGTCTAAAAAGTAAAATGGGTTGCAAGGAAGCCTTTAGAATAAGAAGAAACAAAGGGGAGAGCCCATTGGGCAAAGGCAAGCCGAAGAATGAGATTCGGACATTGCATTTGCTTGGAGCATATCCCATAGCACATTGTTTAAGGACATATCCCATCATCACATGAATAAAAGGAAAAACCAAAAACATAAATCAAAACTTACTTATAATATATCGTTTGATTAAGATTAAAGAGTGACATCAATTTTTAATGTTAATTTGGTCGAGTGAGTTATTAAAGTGAAAAAATAATTTATAATTAATTGTAATAAAAAAAAAAGAATTGGGTTGGATAGGATGCGAATGAGGAAGCTGAGCTACATAAAAGGACAAAGTGATGGCCAGCTTGGACCCCACATGGCAAAAAAAGGAGAAAGATTCTTTCTTTCACTTTGCTTTTCCTTCCTTGCTTCGTTCTTTCACCATCTTAATACCAATCCAACACAACGCAACAACCTCTATTATGTCACATTAACTTTATATTATATTATTCCCTCTCTCACCTTCCACACCTAAAATTACCTTTTCTTTTTCATTTCCTTTATTCACACTCACATTCACTCCCATTAATCTATACACTTCGCTCCACTCATTATCATTATTATTATTTTTGTTATTGATAATCCCAATCATCTTCTGCAAACAACAAAATCCAGTTCTGTTTTTCTTTCATGGTTTTGTTGCATCATTCCTATTGGAGGCGATTCGGATTAGGGCTACACTGCATCTCTTTTCCCGACCATGTCGCCGGCGGCCCACGAATATTCTTTTGCCGTCGAGTACGACGGACCTCCGCTAACCTACGATCTCCCTCGGGCGCTTCCTATTAGCGTCGACAGCATTCCGGTCGCCGCCGTCGTTTCCCAGGTTTCTCTTTCCGACGCTCTAGCACTGCCGGTCGTGCAGCCGCTCCTACCATCGCAACACCATCATCACGCCGTGAAGGAGCTCAGAACGCACGGCTCTGAGCCTAGGGTTTCCAAGGAACTCGAATTAGCGTCCGAGAGAACAGTCTCGCCTACTTCCGTGATCGCCTTTGAGCATCGAGCTTCCCAGAGCAACGTTTGCGAGCTCTCCGGCGAGTTGAGCAGCTCCGGCGCGTTCGAGTTCTCCAACGGGAACGATGGCTCCGGCGAGTTGTCTGATTTGGGTGACAGTTCGAGAGTGCTCGAAGATTCGAGCTCGCGTGAGTTACCAGCGGAAGGTAGAACAATAAGCAGAACTAGAACTGAAAGCTCTAGTACCGGTGATCTTTGGGACAAGTCTGGGAGGAGTTCGGATATGTTGAGGGTTTCGAATGATGGAAAAGAGAGTTTGGATTTCAACGAGTTAAATCAGCAAGATTGGCCTTCCACTGAGTCAGTGTTGAGTTTAGAGTATCCGTCGACTCGGGTTTCTTCTTTGAAGGCTGAGGATTGCGATGGCAAGCGACCCCCTATTGTTACTTTCAATGTGGAATCTGATGATGATTTGGATGAGGAGTTTGATGTGGAGGACACTGTTACTAGACCGGTTAAAAGGGAACCTTTGACGAAGGGGAAGAAAGGGTCTTGTTATAGATGCTTCAAGGGGAATAGGTTTACTGAGAAGGAGGTTTGTCTTGTTTGTGATGCCAAGTATTGTAGTAATTGTGTGCTTAGAGCTATGGGGTCCATGCCAGAAGGTCGGAAATGTGTTACTTGCATTGGATTCCCTATTGATGAGTCCAAACGAGGCAATTTAGGGAAATGCTCTCGGATGCTAAAGCGGTTGCTTAATGAATTGGAGGTTCGGCAGATAATGAAGGCTGAGAGGTTTTGTGAAGCGAATCAGCTTCCACCTGAATATGTTTGTGTGAATGGGAAGCCACTTTCTTATGAGGAGTTGGTTATGTTGCAGAATTGTCCAAATCCTCCAAAGAAGCTAAAGCCAGGAAACTATTGGTATGATAAAGTGTCTGGTCTTTGGGGGAAGGTATTTGTCTGTTGATTTAGTTTTTTCTTCGTGCATTTGTGATTTGGTGTTTGGGTTTTTAAATGTTTCTGCTGATGCTGATTGGTTTGTAATTTCACAGGAAGGACAGAAGCCTTCCAGAATTATAAGTCCCCATCTGAATGTTGGAGACCCCATCCAACCGGATGCTAGCAATGGAAACACTCAGGTTTTCATTAATGGTCGAGAAATAACAAAAGTTGAGCTTCGGATGTTGCAGGTTGAAAATTTAGTGTATGCAGAGAGTTTTGAAAGGCTCTCTTAATAACCAAATATTGTTTATTGTAAAGCGACTTTGTTGAAAGAATCCTGTTTTGCTTGTGCAGTTGGCTGGAGTGCAGTGTGCCGGCAACCCACATTTTTGGGTCAATGAGGATGGTTCCTACCAAGAAGAGGGGCAGAAGAATACAAGAGGATATATATGGGGAAAGGTAACCCTTTTTTTCTTGAGTGGGGTGAGGAGGGGAAGGGGTGGAGGAAGGAGTTATTTCTCTCCTATTTTCTTCCAGACAAATGTTATTTACTGTGCACTCATTGATTTTTGGTTGTTAGGCTGGAACAAAGCTTGTATGTGCTTTCCTATCCCTGCCAGTTCCTTCTAGATCTTCAAATTCTTTGGGAGAACAACACTCCAATCTGGTTAGCAGAACCATTCCTGACTACCTTGAGCATGGAATAGTTCAGAAGCTTCTCTTAGTTGGTTGCAGTGGATCTGGAACGAGCACTGTTTTTAAACAGGTGATTTTATATCTGATAATGGAGTCTGTGAATTAAATCATACTTAGTACTTTCTTTGAATTAGGAGCATTAAAAATTGGACAGAATGTGATCTGTGTGACGAAAGAAACTTCTTGGAGTTTTCTGGACTCTATTTCACAAGTATTAACCTTGTCAATCACAATATTTTGTGGACACTCACACTAATAGTGTCAATCCTGCAAAGGTTGTTGTAAATGCTTATTGGATGCACGATTGTGTAATTTTCTTGTGTCATCAAGTGTTTCCTTGTTTAGCAAGGTCAATTTTGTTGGTAAGTGACAATTGACTTCGTATTTGGACACGGTATGGGATTCTTCATGGGTATATGAGGAATTGTTGAAGTGAAATTTTGATAAGCCTTCTCCTCAAAGTGAAAATAATGTCACTGATAGAAATGAGATGAGAAATACCTTTAAACGTCAATGTATTCATAGAATTGCAAATATGTATGGCAGGCCAAGATTCTTTACAAAAGTGTCCCATTCTCAGAAGATGAGCATGAAAATATAAAGTTGACCATTCAGAGCAATGTTTATGCATACCTTGGCATACTGCTTGAGGGACGTGAGCGTTTTGAAGATGAAAGTTTGGCTGATTTGAAAAAAGGGCAATCCTCTGTACTTGATACCACAGGTAGGATGCATTTTCTCCCTCCCTTACACTTCTTTGTCAGAGATGTGTGTTTTATATTGAACTTTGACTTAGTAGCCTAGATATCTTTCTTTTAAAGCACCAATTGTGCACCATCTATTCGTTACTTGTCAATCCAAATGGTTTGCAGCGTTCTTATGGTGTTATTATGTATGTAGTTCTGTTCTTATCTCCTTTCCTTTATATTTATACTAAAAGTTTGGCTGTTTGCAATTATGGTTTACTACAGGAACTAGTCCAAAACTTGATGATAAGACCATATATTCCATTGGCCCAAGATTGAAAGCATTCTCTGATTGGGTGCTGAAAACGATGGTAGCAGGCAAACTTGATGCCATCTTTCCTGCTGCTACACGTGAATATGCACCGTTGATTGAGGAATTGTGGAATGATGCTGCCATTAAGGCCACATATGAAAGAAGAAGTGAATTAGAAATGCTGCCTAGTGTTGCCAATTATTTCTTAGAGCGGGTAAGATTATTCTTTCTTTGATTTTATTATTTTGTCAGCGGGCTCTTGTCAAATGAATTGTGGGAAACCTATTTACATATTTATTTGTCACACTTTCATATGGAAGCACTTGTCAAGTGTTTTCAATTATATTAGGTGCTTTCAAATCCAGCTGTTTATGCGGATGAATTAACACTGCTTTTCACCTGTTAAGCATTAGAATGCTTCATTGATGTTATTTTTGCAAATAGTTGCACCATCTTGCTTCCTTATTTTCTTTTAAGTTTCCACTTCTATTTTTTCTTTCCTGAAGAAAGATTGTTGGGCTAGTATCTTTGACAAACTTGTTCTGCTCTCTGTTTTAGGCTGTTAAGATATTAAGGACTGATTATGAACCCTCAGATTTAGATATCCTCTATGCTGAGGGAGTTACATCATCCAATGGGGTGGCTTGTGTGGAGTTTTCATTTCCACAATCAGATTCTGAGGAAGCTGTTGACACTGCTGATCGACATGATTCTTTGGTTAGGTAGGTGAAAATATTTTGTGCCTGTCTCTAACAGAAGAAATATATTTGTGCCTGTTGTACATCGGAAATGTGTTGTGGCCCTGATTAACCTAATTGCTGTTGTAATTGTTTTTGTCTTGGAAAAAAGTAGCACTAGTAAACTGCCAAGGGATGTAAATGCAAGTACATCAGGACTAGAAAATAACAAAAGAAACAAAATGCAGGATAAGTATTTTAGAATTGTAGTAAGGAGCCTACTAAGGATAAATGCAAATATATTTTTCACTGGTACTTAAGAAACATACTGGAGGTTTCTTCCATTTGCATGGATATGGCTACGAATATGAGTGTTTCTATATTTGATATTTTAGTTCAATTTTTATATTCTTTGGATAGGATTGTGGACATCATACTGGAATGGCCATCAAAATGCTCTTATAGTCAGGTTTAATGTGAAAAAGTTGACCTCTCTTATGAGAAAGACGCATTCAAATTTGTGTATTTGTTTCAAATGCTTGGAATACTATTATTCCCAAAAGCATATCTAATTAGCAGAAATATCTGATGATGTTGCTGTTTTTCATGGATGTGAATTTGACTCGTACAGATATTTATGCGTTTCCTACCACAAATGTTTGTGTTAAGATATGTAACTTCTTTTTATAATAATAATTTGGAGGGGAAAAAGTAGTCGTTACAACTGCCCTTGAATGTTGATGATTAATAATACTTTTTGGTTGGTTAACAGGTATCAACTAATTAGAGTGCATGCAAGGGGGCTAGGAGAAAATTGCAAGTGGCTGGAGATGTTTGACGATGTTGAAATGGTCATTTTCTGTGTTGCCTTGAGTGACTATGATCAGTTTTCTGTTGATGGAAACGGTTGTCTCGCTAACAAGATGATATTGAGCATGAAGTTTTTTGAAACCATTGTCACTCATCCAACTTTTGAGCAAATGGACTTCCTGTTGATATTAAACAAATTTGATCTGTTTGAGGAGAAAATTGAGCAAGTTCCTCTGACTAAGTGTGAATGGTTCTCTGATTTTCATCCAATAATCAGTCGCAATCGTCCCAACAGCAATAGCAACAGCATAAATAATAATCCCTCCCTTGGTCAGCTGGCTTCCCATTACATAGCAGTTAAATTTAAAAGGCTTTATTCATCTCTTAGAGGACGAAAGTTGTACGTGTCCCTGGTGAAGGGGTTGGAGCCTGATAGTGTTGATGCAGCACTTAAATACGCCAAGGAAATTTTGAAGTGGAACGAAGAGAGACCAAACTTTAGCTTGAGTGAGTACTCAATGTATAGCACTGAGGCGAGTTCATTCTCTCATTGATTGCTAATTCAGGCAAGAGTTGTAAGTCATACTTGTGTATGGCTTGACATTTGTTCGTGTACATATACTGCTAACTAGAAGTAACATGGACCATTCCTTCTACAAGCTATCGACTTGTGAGATGCAGTGGACTGTAGACACATGTAGGTAAGGTTTCAAGGGGTTAAGGTATGTTGGTGAGTCAGTCAGCACATGCCACACAGATCCAAGTGTAATGTTCAAATTCATTTTTTATTTTTCTTATGTTAAAGTAATATTGTTATAATTTTTTTTGGGTCAATCTTTATGTTAGAAGTTGTGTATCACTTTTAGCCGGTCCGTCAAATATTTGAGTTGCAAGCCGGCTTTTGTGTGCTAAAAATACATGATAGACCACGGCGGTTGTATATCATTCAAGCTGGAGCTTTTCATTTTGACCCAAAAAAAAGCTGGAGCTTTTCTGTAGGCTCTGCGCGTCATTCTGTTTGCGAATGGTTTATAAAAGACATAATATACTTTAAAGTTATCCATTTACTTTAGCTCTTTTTAGGGTAAAGTGTTGAAATGAGAGTGGTGGAAAAAGATAATAGTAAATGTGAACTACGAGTTCAGAATTAACAGAATACTAAAAATTGCACCAGCTATCATAATACAGCACAGCCCTATTAAACACGTTATTACCTGACACAAAAAGAAAACATGTTATTAGAAGATGGAAAGCCCAGATTTCACATCCTAGAGGCTTCTTGCTCTTATTTTAGAAAAGTAGCCTAAAATAATCTAGTCCTCATAAAGATCGGTATCAAGGCGTGGAGTTAGGAGAACTTGAAGAGGGGTTGCTTTTAAATTTGTAAGTCCAACGCTCTCTGTCATGTCTATAACTTGATTTGAAGGAGAAGCCACATTGAAAGAGTGTAACAGTCTAGCCAAGGTCAAGAGCACCACACGCAGAGCCAGGGAGGTTCCTGGGCATGCTCGCCTTCCAGAACTAAAAGGGACGAGCTCATAGTTCTGACCTCTAACATCAACATCTTTGTGGGTTGTCAAGAACCTTTCAGGCTTGAAATCATGAGGATCCGGCCAAACACGACCATCCCGGTGGATCTTCCAAGCATTCACCATTAAGTGTGTACCAGCAGGAATTCGATAGCCGCATGAAAAGGTGCAGTCGTCCATGGCCGCACGAAACGTGATAATGGGACTTGGTGGATAGAGACGCAGGGTTTCCTTGACAATGGCTTGGAGGTAGACTAACTTCTTCATTTCACATTCTTCTACCTTCCTGTCCTTCCCAATATGAGTGTCCAGTTCTTCTTGGGCTTTTTTAAGTTCCGTTTGATGGTTGAGTAGCAGCGATAGCGCCCATGTTAGAGTGATCATGGTGGTGTCACTTCCCGCTAAAATCAGATTCTGCCAAGATATACCAGCTCGGGGTTCGAATTCAGTGTTAGATGTCAAACCAAAAAGGTTGTTTGAACCAAAAACTCCGATTTTCTTCTAAACAGAAGAAGGATGCTATACTAAATTAGATTGTACGATATAACATAAATCCGAAGGATATAAACAAGTGGACCCTTTTGGCAGCACAAAACTATTGGCTTTTGGTATATTCTTTGTTCCTTGTGAAAAGATTTAAACAGAGGAACCGAATTATTAAGAGTTTTTCTATATCGTACGATATAGTACGAAGCAACTTGTTTACATGCTATTGGCTGAATAAAAAATAAAAATAGAAGAAAATGGACAGGAATCACGGTGATGGGGCATAATTTATCCCGCTTATTTTACAACCAAAGGTGTAAATGCGTAATGTCCTTGGTTGGGAGCTTTAGCATAAGAGAAAGTATTTTATGCACAATTTTTGGGATGACTTTAAGTGTTTTTTTTTTTTTTTTTATTTTATACACGCAAATGAAAGGTACAAATAACAGACTTCTAAATTCCTTTTAGACTCCATCAAGCATTTATGGTTTTATTAAATAAGAGGCAAGATATATATAGTAGTAACAAGTAGCAACAAAAAAAATAAAATAGAAAATAGCCTAACAATTACTTACCAGGCAAGTAGCCTTGATGATAGTATCTGAATCATAACCTGAAATCTCTGCACCCTGCAGAACATTCAGCATGACGTCCATGAAATCTTGTTCATCCTTGCCATTCGTATTCCAAACTCTTTTCCTTTTGTGTTCCTCTAGCCACCCTTCAAGCAAAGTGTCTAATTCACTAGCAGTTCTCTTCATAGCCTTTTCATATCCATTGATATCTAACCACCCCAGAAATGGAACTGCATCAGATAACACAAACACCCCAAACAAACATACACAGTCTCTCATAGCTCTCTTATACCTTCTTGCTTCACCTTCTGCATGATCATCAGCAGCCCCATAATATGGTTTCCCTCCCACCATTCTCAAAGCAATATTGTGCGTCAAATCTCCAAACCACTGCTTCATATCTACCAAAACCCCTCCGTTTGTACAACCATCTCTTGACCATAACTTGTAAAGCTCCCTTACTGCAGCCTCTACCTCAGATCTTCTTGTGTTCTTGAGTAGTTCAAGCCTTTGGTTAGACAAAAGCTCAATGGTAGTTAATTTCCTTATCTCACGCCAATAAGGACCATAAGGAGTGAAGCCAAACATTGCATAGTTGTAGCCCATTAACTTAGAGGCTGCAACACAAGGCCTTGTGGAGAATGCTTTGTCATGCACAGTAAAACACTCTTTTGCCACCTCCCAGCTACTCAAAACCAGAACTTTGCATGAACCAAGTTTTATAGTGAAAATTGGTCCATGTTTGTCAGTCATGATCCCAAGTGTTTTGTGTGTAAGTTGATGAGCCCCGAAGAGGTGCAAATGGCCAATAATAGGCCATGCACCTGCTGCTTGTGGTGCACTGCAGATCTTTGTGTTAGGATTAGAAACAAGTGTTTTCTTAAATTGATAAAACAAGGCACCTACTAACAAGGCAAGAATGCCTGAAATGAGAGTTTTCAGCTGAAAAGCATCCATGACCATGACCCCTCTTGAGTTCCAAACTAAGCCAACAACTTATATAAAGAAATTTCATATTTGTCGGTTTCCTGTTGCTTTGCTTAATCGTGCATCACCTAGCATCTATCTAGGTGTCACTTCATCCCAGCATTCCATTTAAATTTTTCACTCACTCGATATAATGCAAGTCACTCCGCTGTGAGGATTTTGAGCCACTTGTTTTAAATTTGGGTAAAATAATTCTCTTTCATAACGTTGTCTTAAAAGATTCAAAAATAATTATTATTTAAAACAGTTGAATGTGTTTTACAATAATATTTAATGTTTTTGACATTTTTGAGGTTGCAGATTGGTTTGGTTTATTACGATCCAACCATCCTAAGCTAGACCAATTGCAAAATCAAGTGGTTTAGAGTAATTTTAACGTATGAAGTGCACTTCAATGTTTAATTGTAAAACAAATTCAGTGACAATTTATTTTCTATTTAAATTGGTAGTGTACTTTTATCTTTGAAAGTATAAGAAAGAAGGGTGGGCAAAACCAAATGAATTTAGTGATTTACGTGCAATTCGGCAAGATTAAGCCAGTGAACTTGTATAATTTATAAGCAAATGTTAGCTAATATTTTAAGATAAAATTAAAATATTTAAAACAAATGAGTTTATTTATCTTATTAATACATTATCATTATATATTTTTAACACAATTAAAAAAATGATGTACCCATTTCTTAATATCGTTGTGTTATAGTTATCAAACCCTTAGTGATATTTGAATCCCCGTGCTGCCATCCAATTCCTATCCTTTGTGTATGTATGTATGTAAGAGCCGTGACTCCAAATCGGTGAACCCCACTTTAGTGATTGTCTGTTTGGAATTTGTGAAAATTTCAGCAATAATTGATTCCAATCGAATCATCCACAAAAATTTTATTATATAAATGTATAAAATAAGAAAATAAAAAATACATTTATTGTTAATTTTAATTATATATATACAGGTATATATTGCTTTATTTATTGTTTCCGTTCATGTAGAAAACCGAAGATAGTACAGTTTTAGTATAGATTTTATTATCTATTTATTTATATGTTAAATTAAAGAGAATTTTTTTGACAAGTTAAATCTTTTAACAAGACAAAATTTAGATATAATATACAAATATAATAAAAATCAAGATTAAAAAATAGTTTAGTAGTTAAAATAAATTTCTATTTATAATTATAAAATAATATTAAAATATCAAAATTATTGAAATTAAACTTTATCTTTTGTAATATATTTTTTAAAAGAATAATTGTTTTCTTCACTTTTCTAAACAAATAATTTAATTTTAAATATTTTTAACATATTTCAAAGTATACTTAAATTAAGAGTAAAATATATATTTTTCTTCTGTAAAATATACATATTATACTATCCTTCATTTTATTATAAAATATATTATTTAGTCCATTTAATTTTACACTATACAATTTTTTAAAAATATTTTAATTTTTTATTATATATAAATTTACTAATTTATCATTTATCTATAGCTTAATTTTTATTTGTATGTCCTGATTTTTTATTTTTATCCTCAATTTTTTCTTTGAATGTGTTAAAATTATAATTCATTTATATCATGTACCTTTTCATTGAAGGTGATTTTTTTAGTTTTATTTTTAATATTTTACGTTGAAATAAGTCTTTAAAAATTTTATAATAATGACAAATTCTTATTAAATATTTTGAAACTTATAAATTTTTTTAATAAAAACTTAAAATAAATTAAATTATAATGGATTTAAGTTTTTGATAAAGGAGATTATAAATTTTTTAAATAGAAAAAATTAATGTGATATATATATTTTTTATTGAAGGATAATGTAATTTACTCTTAAAAATCAATTATACATATTTTTATTAAACATTTATTTAATCATTATTATTTTATATTTCATCTCAATTTTAAAATCACTTTATAACACAAAAGACATGTAATAGTTTTGTGAAATAATTTCTTTAGCCAAACCTTCGCCAAAACATTAAAGAAATGCAATTTGAGATGACTTCATGTAATTTTAAATACTTTTATTTTAGTTGAGCAAAATTATTGTGTACAAATATTTTTATGATCTATATTTATTGACATTTAAACTTAGGGACCTATAAATTAAAATAAAATAATCCCACCAATTAATCAAATTTGTATTTTATTTTACTACTTGTTATAAATACATGTTAAAACTTGATGTCATTTTTCATGATTGAATTGTACCAAATTATATATAAATGAAGTAACAGTCAATACTGCCTATGCCTATACGGTGAATCTTACTTTATTACATGATTTTAATTGTTTTAAGAAGTATCATCATTAATTCTTTATTTTAAAGGAATATATAATAAATTTAGATATTATTTATTATTGATAATAACATTAGTAATAACATCTATAATAATAATACTAATAAAAATATAAATTAACGTAGCTGTAATATTATTCAATACGTTAATCATAATAAGTTTGACTAAACGCATATCTAAAAAATGGATTAAAGAATGTCATTCTTTTACTGCATTATTTGTGAAACATGTTAAAATTAAGTGTAAATTAAATCATACGTAAAATAAGATATGAATAAATTAAAGATTTATGACACGTAAAATAAGATATGAATAAATTAAAAATTTATGAAGAGATATAGACTCGTGTATTTTTTATTTTAAGATTTTGAAATTGTATTATAATGTCTTTCTTATTGTAAAATTTCTTATTCAAATCACTAGAATAAACGGCAAATTTAATTTTAATAAAATTAAGAGACAAATATAATTTTATAATTAGATTGAATTAAATTTAAAATTTAAATAACTGTGATATTGGTAAGATCATCATCACAAGATTCGCCACAGCATCGATACCCAAATCGTATCAGATTTCTCTCTTTTACTCAGTAAAAATAACAATAATTATGAAGATTTGAACTTAACCTCTGTCTGTTATAATTCTATTATCATAACCATCTAATGAGGATGAGTGAATGGGTTAAGCATTGCTTATGATCAGTGTTTTCTTTATAGGGACATCATGTCTCCTTATTGGTTTCAAACCTATAACAGCAAACAAGGTGGTGTCTGGGACGTGTTGGATATGGGTGATGTAATAAACCATAGTTTTGTTGGGCTAATGGGCTTCTAAAGCGGTTGATTCTTCTGTTTGTGACGTCAAATATCATTCTTAATCTTTATGCTTTTGGTCAAAATTTTCATGCAGCAATCTCTTCACAGGCAGACGCAGATCCACTTGGGAACTTGAAATCAATAAAGAATTGAATGTGACTGCAATAGAACTTCAAATAAAAAAGGCTCATGTTTATAAGTAGAAAAGATTCGAGAAGCATCACAGCTCATTCTTTAGAACACTCAAATTTTATAAAGATACGTTTGAAAGTTAGGAATTAAACTTTATTTATTTTTAATATTATTAAAAATTTAAATTTTTAATGAATGATAATAATAAAATATTAAGACATGTTATTTTTTACAAGTTGGTTTTATTCGACAAACTAACACCATCTGAGGTAACCTATTCAGTTAGTAGAGTGAGTCAGATTGATAACTCACCTTTTAACTCAATCCATGTCAATCAAGATGTATATTGCAAAGCTTTAAGCGAGATCATACAAATATAGAAATGGGTATTTTCAGCCAAAATTGAGAGAACACATCTTTTCGTGTAGGCAAGAGGTGAATTCATTCATAAATGACTAGCTAATCCCTAGGCATCAACTTTTAGCATTATGCACATTGCACACTATCGACCTAACATAGGTTGTAATCTCAACATTCAGTGAACCCATCCATATGTATGGCAGAATTTGGTGGTCCATATTTGTCTCAAGTGTGAGTTTGGTGTCCTACGGATTAGATGCCGGCCACATAAGGCGTGCGTATGGCCAAAATGGGTTGTAGGTATCTTTAACGTGAGTTTGTATTCACTTCAATTTTATTTTTAATATTACAACTTTAACTTTACATTAAAATGTAAACACACTTTATTAAAGGATGTTTTTCTTCTCATCGCGTAATGGATTATGGTCTATGCATGCTAAGTTGCTAACTGTTAGCGTCGGAGAAAATTGAAAGAAAGGGTCCACCGTAGCTGAAAAGACTGAAGCAGATAAGAATGCTTGCGTTTCAAAATAATAATGTTACTTTTACATCTTTTATTTTCACATTTTCTCAATAGTCAAGTCAATTACACTTCTTATGGACCAGAAGATTCAAATATATATATATATATATATATGAAGTAAAATTTTTTTACACCAATATAAATTTAAAAATTCTTATATTTAATTTTAGTCTTTTATTTAATTTAAATTTAATAGCCAATAAAATAATAAATTATAATTCATTAAAATTAAGTTAAATGGAAGACTCAAATTGAGTTTAAGTTTAAACTTATATTAATATAAATTTTTTTTACCTATATATATATATATATATATATATATATATATTATCATTACAAGAATAAAAATTCACCGTCATTATACTTTCAGAAGAAAAAAAATATGAAAGAAAAAAAGTATTTAATTAAGAAATAATTATGCAAATCTTCTTTAATAATGATAATAATTACTCTTAAATCTTGCTTTCTTATAAAAATATTCCTACTTCCTATGTCTCTTGATTTGATTTATTATTTTTAAGAATACTTTACTAATGATTTATGCATTAGAAAAAGACAAGTGTGTGTAATTTTTTTAAGATAAAAGTTGTCAATACAAAAGAAGTATATATATATTTCAAACTAACAAAGGTTAGGTCTGAGAATAATTATTGCCAACTCCAAGAAAAATTAGTGTAATAATTCTTAATACAGGCAATGATGTAATTAATAAAAATTATAAAAAAGATATAAGACAGGTGTAAAAATTACAATGTAAAAAAAATATTTTAGACAACTTTTTTAAAGATATGATATTAATTTTTATAGAAAATTTTATTTTATTACAGTTCATACAAAAATGAATTAAAAAAGATAAAATTATGTTAGAGCTTGTTTTATTCATTAAAAAAAATATATGCTAAAAATTATGAATTGTTTTGTGTTTTTGTATGAGTTGCTGTAAAATAATTTTGGTAAAAAATTATCTGTTTATTTTATTTTTTTACATTATTCTAGCACCATGTCTTTCTAGCGTCAAAAGAACTCGATGAATATCCGAAAAATCGTTTTCTTGTTTCTTTTTATACAATCATCTGAACTTCGTTTGTGATGCTATTCATGGCTACATTATAACTGAGCTGAGAAAAAAAGAACTGCATCAATCCTTTGTAACGGTTGCATCTAATACTAGTTCTCACTGATAATTGATTCTGATACGTATGATTTTGCGAGCAACACAGAAGTACCAATTTACGTAACTGCAATTATTTGAACTTAAAGACCCTCGAGACTCTCTCTTCGATCGTGTCAATGGATTCTGCAAGTCAAGATCTGATGAACAACGTTATGTAACACAGAAGACTGAAAAAAAAAAAACAACTATGGAAAGAAGTATGGTTATCGTGAACTAACAACAATAACAGCAAATTTTATTCCATTATTTATGATTGTTGATGTTATTTAGCTTATATCAAAAATATTATTTATTATTAAATTTCTTTTAATATATTTTTTAAAATTCTTCCTGCTTTTTCTGTATTTTTATTGATTGGACTAAAAATTATGACATTTATTCGTCTCACTGGTGATTTTAATGGTTTTTTTCTTTTTTCTTTTACAATATCAAAGTACTTTAAATAATTTTCTATCATCTTTTACAATTTAGACTGTAAATATTACCATGGTTATCGGGGACTATTACAGTAAAATTGTGAAGTTTAGAAATTGTTATGTATGGAGAGACTCACGCCAGTGATGGGCCTAATAAACCATAACGTGCAAATCCAAATACGGAACAATCCCATGCTTGTGACTCCGAACCAGTAACAACGGTTCTGTTGAAAAATGTTTTATCATGTGCAGTGAAAAACTCTGGTCAATTCCTTTCTCCTCAAATCAGAAGTTGCTAAGTGGGAGAATGTGAGGAGAGATCAAAGGAATGAAACAAGGCAGACACAGTAAACAACCAAAAATTTGATAACATCCTCTTCTGGCTTCAGATATTCATTTGGATCATATGGTTCTATTTCATTTGTGTTTTCTTTTTTATTGGATGATTATTTTGTCTTTTCTCTCCTGTGGGAAGACAGGTTTAACTGCTGCTATTGTAAGAAAGATGCTATCAAATTTGTAGATTTCTTTCAAATTCTTGGACAACTGTTATTACCGATCGAACGCATATTTTAATTATGTCAACCATCCTTTGATGTTGCTGATTTTTGAAAAATGTGAACAGACTCAGAAGGAACTTGCGTGCTTTCCACATTATATGTCTGTGTTCGGATGGATAATTTTTTCTTTCCCGGTTAAACAGGTATCAACTATTACAAATTTGACCAATTTGAGGAGAAAATCGAACAAGTTCCTTTGACAAAGTGTGATTGGTTCTCTGATTTTCATCCGATAATAATAGCATTAATAATGACACTACCCTTGTTCCAGATATACTTGTCACTTTTATTTGTATGTATGAAGTGTAATCCTTAAACTTGATTTTGAGTCATGTTAGTTTCAGCCAAGTATGCGACACTTCAATCGTACCTACACTCCTCCAAGCCCAAAAATCCTTCAAAATCAATTGTCAAATGCCAACAATTCTTGACTTGAATTTTGTCCGTATACATTGATCGCTGAGTAGGAGTAACTGGGAACATTCCTTCCGCAGGCTATCCTCGTAAGATGCACTAAAAACATGCAAATTTTAAGGGGGTTGGGTCTGCTTAAAATGTTCACATTCTTTTTTCAATGGTAACGTAACATGTTGATCTTTGCATTTATATATCCCTTAACTTGCAAATTACAATTTAACTAGGTTATATGGCATTATCATGTTCGTAAATGACATACTAAAGACAATGTACGTTGTAGAAAGAAAAACTAGAGGAAGTGAACCGCTATTATATAACATAGTACCACTCCATTAAACATGCTATTAAAAGATTGAAAGCACCAATTTCACAACCAAGAAACTTCCTATCCTTATTTTGAGAAAACTAGTTTAATTTAATCTAGTCCTCATAAAGCTTGGTATCTAGACGTGGAGTTAAAAGGACATCAAGTGGGGTTGCTTTTAAATTGGTAAGTCCAATGCTCTCTGTCATGTCTACATTTTGATTTGAAGGAGAAGCAACATTGAAAGACTGTAACAGTCTAGCCACGGCCAAGTGCACCATACGCAGAGCCAGTGAGATTCCTGGGCATGCTCTCCTTCCAGAACCAAAAGGGACAAGCTCATAGTTCTGACCTCTCACATCAACATCTTTGTGGGTTGTCAAGAACCTTTCAGGCTTGAAATGATGAGGATCAGACCAAACACGACCATCCCTCTGGATCTTCCAAGTATTAACGATTAAATGTGTGCCAGCAGGAATGTGATAGCCACCTGAGAAAGTGCAGTCTTCCATGGCTGCACGAAGGGTGACAATGGGACTTGGTGGATAGAGTCGCATAGTTTCCTTCACAATGGCTTGAAGGTAAACTAACTTCTTGATGTCTGATTCTTCCACCTTCCTGTTCTTCCCAATATGAGTGTCCAACTCATCTTGGGCTTTTTTAAGTGCCGTTTGATTGTTTAGTAGCAGAGAAAGAGTCCATGTTAGAGCCACCATGGTGGTGTCGCCTCCTGCCAAAATCAGATTCTGCAAAAATGTACCAACTCATGGTTGGAAATGGAATTCAAAGTTAGACAGCAATATGTACCAAAAATCTGTATTTTTCCCTTTTTAATTCGTTTCTTGTCTTCTAAACCATAGAAGGATGTTATCTTGAATCGGATTAAATCAATAATAGCCTTATCTCACTAGTTGCCGTTTACATGAATCACACATATCACATTGAATCAAATTATGGATTTATGACAAAAAATTGTAGAAGGTGACGTGGTTACTTCTGTTCCAAACAAGTGGATCCTTCCTTGCGACGGCCTATCATACCAGTAGTTTACTTCTCAGGTGTGTTTGGGATATAAACTTAAGTATTTATTTAACAAACTCTTATTACACTAGTGCTTATACCATATATTTGACTATGTTTTGTAGAATAAGCTAAGAAAAAACATATTCTTAGCTTATTGAAATAATTTGAAAAGAGTTAATGAAAATTCTAATCTATTTTCATAAGCTCTTTCAAATGAGTCTTGGTGTATTTTTGGTTCCTCATTGGGAGATATCAATAGGCAAATCAAGTCACAGTCTGAATATATTATACATCAATTTTTCAATCTCTAAGTCATGTATTTTTGTTGGATGAATTCCTTTTGACTTAATGATATAATAAGTTGGACACACTTACCAGGCAAGTAGCCTTGATGACGGTGTCTGAATCATAACCAGAAACCTTGAGATCGTGCATACCATTCAGCATGACATCCATGACATCCTGTTCTTCCTTTCCATCCATACTCAAAGCTCTTTTCCTTTTGTGTTCCTCTAGCCACCCTGCAACAAGACTGTCCATTTCACTAGCTGTTCTCTTCATAGCTTTTTTGTATCCATTGTTGTCTAACCACCACAGAAAAGGAAATGCATCGGATAACACAGGTATCCCAAACAAACTCATAAAGTCTCTCATAGCTTTCTTATACCTTCTTGCTTCTTCACCTTCTGCATGATCCTCACTAGCCCCATAGTATGGTTTCCCTCCCACCATTCTCAAAACAATATTATGTGTCAAATCTGCAAACCACTGCTTCATATCTACCAAAACCCCTTCCTTTGGACAACCTTCTCTTGACCATAACTTGTAAAGCTTCCTTGTTGCAGCCTCTAACTCAAATTTTCTTGTGTTGTTGAGTAGTTCAAGTCTTTGGTTCGAGAGAAGTTCAATAGTAGTAAACTTCCTCATCTCACGCCAGTAAGGCCCATGAGGAGCAAAGCCGAACATTGCACAGTTGTAGGTCATTAGCTTTGAGGCTGCAACAGAAGGTCTGGTGGAGAATGCTTTGTCATGGACAGTAAAACACTCTTTGGCCATCTCCCAGTTACTCAAAACCAGAACTTTGTATGAACCAAGTTTTATTGTGAAAATTGGTCCATGTTTGTCAGCCATCATCCCAAGTGTTTTGTGTATAAGTTGATGACCCCCAAAGAGGTGTAAATGGCCAATAACAGGCCATGCTCCTCCTGCTTGAGGTGCAGCACAGATCTTTGTGTTAGGATTAGGAACAAATGTTTTCTTAAATTGATAAAACAAGACTACTACTAACAAGGCAAGAATGCCTGAAATGAGTGTTTGGAGCTGGAAAACATCCATGATCATGACCATGTTGTGTGCCACTAAGTGTAGCCCACCCCTATTTTGCTATATGTCGGTTTTCCTTATTCTTAGCTCAGCAAGCAATGCACCCTATTTGACTTTTGATTTATACTAGGATCAGGTTTATGAAAAAATTTGTTTTATATTAATATTTCTGCTTGATTCATATAAAGACTGCTTCACTGAATAGATTTCATACAATTAAAAATGTCTGTTCAAAAGTTTGTTGAATTTCAGGACTGGAAATTCTTACAATAACTCATTGACCTAAAATTTACTATGAAGTATTAATTTGATGACACGTCTAATTTTTGGTCTAGATTTATTTTATGATTAAACTGGTACTATGTATTCAAACAGCTAAACTTCTGATAAGATCCTTCCCTTAGCAAAAATTGACCCGGCATGTTGAAAAGTTCAAAGGAATTGGGTAAGAAATATTATAGTTTGTTCCGCATATATGCAAGCGTAAGTGCAAAATCTGAATAAAGATTTGATTCGATTTTATCTGACTTAAAATATTCATCAGGTTCTACTTAATTTCTTTCTATTTTATTTTTCCGTGGAAGATTATTTTGTCTTTTTCTCTCATTTGAGAAGATAGGTTTGCATGACTTTCATCAATTTATAAGTGTACATTAGGCGTAGGCCACCTTTAAGAAAGTAACATTAGAATATTCAATGCAAATTAAGATGAGTCTTTCGTGATAAAATATTTCTTAGCTAACTGGACCGGCATCTTGAGTTATATATAAAAATCATTGCAAAAATATAAAAATTCAAAAGTCGTCTGGTTAATTTTTATGACACTTTTTGAATTTAACTGATTTTATATCACGATTTTAAATTCTCTTATTCTTGTAATTCTCTTTTTTGGGTATATGACATTTTTAAATCTCATTTAAAAAAAATGTAACCCCCATCGTAAACAGGGAAAAAAATTTCAGTGTTTTTCTAGAATGACTAGTAACTAGGGTATGTTTACTAGGAAAATTTTAGAGGAAAAAAGAGAGAAGATATATTTTTCAATTTTAAATTAAAAAATTATATATTATTTATATGATAAACGCTTAATTAATATATTAAATTTAAAATACAAAATTTGTCTTCAATTTTGTTTTTCTCCTTTTACCTTCTTTTTCAAATAATCCCCAAATAAAAATTATACAATATGTTATTATTTATTATCATTATCATTTCTTGTATGGTAATTTGGGATGTGTCTCTCAGCTAGACCTCTACTTCTCAATGTTTCATAAAACAGACATCATTTCAAAGCTGCTAGAAAATGATGTCTTAACAGTTGCTACTAACAGTCATTATCGTCGTATTCTTGTGTTTTTATTTTACTTTTGTAATGAACTATAGAAGAGTTAGGTGTGATGCGGATGAACGACTTTCAATCCTTGGTCGCGCTACCTTTCTCACTTTCTACTTCATCAGTGATTGCAATTCCTACATTATATAACCTTAGAAATAATTAATAGAATACTTGTCATCCTATTTTAAATGAAAAAAATAAAATTAAACCTCTTTCTCATAAGAGATCAATTGTGTTATGTTTTAACTTAAACAAATATTCTAATTGTGATAACATATGAATGTACTTTTTAAGGACAATGAAGATTTAAATATTTTTATTATCAACTTTGGGACTTCAACAATTCCACCCGTGGATGTGAAAGTATTGAAGTTAAAAGGTTAATTATAAGTGAAAGAGAAAAAAATACGATAAATAATAGTTATTTTCAACAATATATATATATATATTTTTTAAATTTTGTGTAGCTCTAAATAACTAAAATATTAAATTTATTAATTTTCTTGTATATGTGCATTGTTTTTTAAACAATTCTTTATAAATATTAAATTTTTTAACCATTAAAAATGTTACATATATATTTATGTTGATTGTGCACATCAATTTTATATATAAAAGAAAAACATAATCATATTTTTATTTATATATAATTTTTAGAGCTATCAAAAAGAGTTTTAACCCAAGGACTAACTATTCAACTCTTAAATAATCTACCTAGCTTTGTCTCTGTATTAATTAAAAAAGTTATTAAACCTAAAATTAATTTACTCAAAATATGTGAGTAAGGGTGAAGATATTCATAAATCAATACAGATCTTAAAAACACTCTAAAATCATACATGAATTAAATTAAATTAAAAATGTTTTAAATTATTTTAATTTTAAATATAAAATATAATGAATATGTATGTGATACAGATAAAATCAAGACAGAATATTATTTAAATTTACTTATTCTAATTTTTTAAATATCTATTAAATTTAACTCTCATTATCATCTTTAATTGATTCCTTTCAATTTAAAAAATATATATTTATATTTTTTATTTTTTGTCACTACTTCTCCACATTCATGGGCCTGGAGTTTAGTCGCTTCAACGTTACATTTTGGAATCAACGAATGGATGTTTCCTTTCCTGATGTTACGGAGCAAAAAAGCATTTGTTCATATGATATTAATGTATTCTCTTGGATATAACATTTGATCTCTAATAATATAATTTTATTTTTTATATATTTTATTCAAAATATTAAATAAAAATAAAATACATTTTAATCTCTCAAAAATATAAAAAAATCTAACACTGTCTTTGTTAATAAATTAAAATTTTATAAGAATAATTATAAATGATCTTTATCATATTTTTACATGTCTGTCTTGTATACAATACTATGTCATTATTATATTAAAGAGTTATGATTATTTCACTTGCTAATCTTTGACTTCAAAATACTGAACTTGTGAAAATAAAATAAAATAAAATAAAATAACAAATATTTTTTCAAAGTTTTGTGCGTGACTAGATAACTAACAATTAGATACTTCTTTTACTATGATATTTACATTATAAAAAATTCAAAAATTACAGAAAGTATATATTACCGTGGTTAAATTATTATTTTTTTTTCCGTTTATTTATCGTTTGTCGTGTTACTTTGAATCAATTGTAATAAATACCATTTATCATTACTAAATTCAGGTTTAAAATTATAGTTTTATAATAAAATAAAAATAATATTAAATTTAAATGATTCAAAGAATTAAATTAGTTATATATTTATATTTAAATGATAAATAGATAGATGTGACAGGTATACTCCTTCTATTTCATATTAAATATTCTTTAAGCGTTTTTATATTTATTTTAAATTATTTATTGCTTTCACATATTAAAAAGAAATTATTTTTTACTAACTTCTTTATTTATTATTAAAAATAAAAATTAATAATTAATCATTATAATAAATTCAATATTATTTCAAAAATAATTTTTACTACCTGAGTACCAATGACTTTAGTATTTTTAATATAAAAAATTTAATAAAATTAAATTATCTAAATATAGTAATTAATAAAAAAAAACCATTTTATTAAGATGCATGCTTGATACTAAATGGCATTTAAAATATTTTTATATAAAAAATAATAAATAAGAAATAATAACGTACAAGAATAAAAAATATATCTTAATGAGTTTCACATGAATAAAAAAAATACTTAGTTGTATATAAAAAAATTAAAATACTTTTTTATTTTAATTTGATCTTGAAAATACATTGTTAGTGTTAAGAATGACATATCAAAATTTTAAGGTTATACAATTTTTAACTGTGTAAGTCGTTGAAATATACATTAATAATTTTGTGTGTGTGCATAAAACGTTTATCTTAATTCTAACCCTATGCACTTTTTAGTCTAATAGACTTTTAATTTATTGAGCTTTTCATCCTAACTCATGAATTAGTGATAGAGCTCAACCAGTTAAATTTTTTATTAGCTTTACTAATTTTATAATCAGCATTTATTTATATTTTCAAAATATATATTAGACATTAAAATAAAAGAATTCAATACATTATTAATTACTTTTAAATTCTTTGGGTTCTGGCTAGAATTACTCAGATCTTATATAGATATTAAGTTTTGAAGACCGTAATGTTTGAAGTATATGTGAATCACCGTATTTTATGAATGGTCAAGGCAAAAACATGGAACAGAAGACCGAGTGAAAAATGCGTTGAAAGCGAGAAATGCTAACAAAGCAACTAACTGAACGAAAGAAAACTCAACGATTCTGTAATGAACCTCCACAGAATTTAATTTCCTGCAATGGGCTTCGGTAGTCTGAAGAAGATAAAAGTGATTTAAGAAGTAGCCATTTGAATGCAAAATCTGAGCTGAAACAGCTTTTACGGCTTCAAAGACAATGTGAAATCAAACGCATCAGCTATCATGGAACCTCTTGAAACAAGGAAGACTGGGTGGTTTATCAACTTCTTGATATATTATTAGCATAAAAAATATTATATTATTAATTAATTAAAAAATATGTAAATAGAATTATTATAGAAGTCTAATGATTTTTCTTAATATAACAAAGTATAAATGAGAGTGTAAAAAACGTTTATACTATTAGAAGGTGCCAATTAAATTCTTAAAAGAAATATAAGTCAACCACAATCAAGCCATGCAAGATACTAACTTTTTGCGGTTCATGGAAATAGCTTTTCTTACGTACGGAGACAATTGATTTTCTATCTTCTTTTTGAGTGTTTAATACTTCCAACGGGTTCTCATTTTAAGCTGAACAGTAGTTCTGCTATATAGCAAGTTTTATATACGAAAACATGAAATGAACATTGACATTTACAAGTGCTGGAAATCCTTTCATATGCGACAGAAGCAAGGTGTTGTAACAATTCTATCCATTCAATCTGCTTCAAGTACACCCCGTGGCTTTCCAATATGTAACAAATCTCTAAAGCCAACAACTCTACAAGAAGCAACATAGAGGAAAACGAAAAATGTAAGCAACAAGAAACATGAATTAACAAATGCACCCGCTTGTGATGTGTGGCTTCCAAGTGTCAGTGTCTTTGGAAGCAAACAAATGATCACCAACCCATTCACCAGCAGCTGTTGGCTGTTACCCCTCTGGGCAACTTCTCATGAATAATCTTTGTATGTGTAGTTTCCAAAATTGATATATGTCACCAGTGACTATTTTGTCTTTAAAACTTACGTCTCAGAACCTTCTTGAACAGTAGGAAGACCAACTTCTTGGATAAATTCAGGGTTTAAAAACTTTGCCACAAAAGCCCACAATTTATACACATCCTCAAAATTAGTCAGAAAGCCTAGTGAAGCTGTAACAACTTCAAGCCTTACAAAGCCACCTTTTCCATCATGCCGACCATTCTCCATTGGCCTGCAAATAGTTGTATCTTCAAGGTTCAGAGCTCCGCGATGTTGTCTTGAGTTATCAATAATCCGTATATGACCAAGGAAACCAATGCCAACAGAGATTCCTTCCTTTTCAGCCAGCTTCTGAACAATCTCTGGATTGATTAGCCCCTTCTTTTTGTCCCGGACATTGAATGCCACTGCAGCACCTCTTTCATATTTAATTTTTGGACCATAGATGTGGACAAGATTTACTTTGTCATCTCCATCAGAAACCGATAACTTAAGTTGCAGCAAAGAAGTTACAAGCCAATTTACCAAAAATCTAAGTCTAAGTGTAGTTTTATTGAGACCAAGCATATTAACATGATCAAGGTTTCGACATGTTATCTCTGGTTCTCTTCTGCCCCAATCTTGGCCATCACCATATTCTCCGTCACTTGTGACCTCTCCATCATCTAAGCTAGCTGCAGATATGTCCCCAGTTTCCAAGCCATGGCTCAGGTATTCTTTACGATTATCTTCCATGCTAAACGACACCCTTCTTCCTCTGCTATTTGGTTCATTCTCCTCCAATCCGAAAAACCTACCACCACTACCACCATATCGGTCCCCTTCCCTTCTACCTAACAACCTAAATTCACCTTCAGTTTCCCTTCTTATGGCACTCTCTTTAACGTCTTGGCATATTTCAGAGGTTGAGCCATTCTCCAAGCTGTGATCCTGAGCAATTGAAGTTGAATTGTTCAGCCGAGATCCTTTTAGAGCAACAGATCCAGTATTAACTGCTTTGCTGGTTCCTGGTTCTTCCTGGATCTCGTTGACATACAGACGGTCTGACCCATCACCATTTCTTGAAAAATGATTGACTTCTGCAACATTTTCTTCTGGGATCTCTTTAACACGGTCTAGTTCGTGTGACACTGACAGGACAGCAGCATCAAACGACAGAACATGGCGTTCATCATTAAAGCCTAGATTGACCTCTCTGTCATCGTACATAGGGCTGCCATATATCTTGGAAGTTGGTTTTGGAGAACATCGTTTCTGGTTCCTCCTCCCATTGAACCAGAAGGGTGGTAGGGGAGAAGCTATCTTCTGTTTATTCATTTGACCTGCATTATCAGACCCCAATGGACTCTGACCCAAATCAATCCAAAATGAGTTCTCTGATGACTCATCCTCACTGAATACAGGGCTCTTCATCACCTCCCCAACGGAAAAACTCTCAGTCTCTTCAAATATGGTGCTAGTTCCATCTCTTTCAGAACTGTCCTGATCCATTTCAGTCTCAAACACATCTCTGACCTGGGCAGATGTGAATGCACCGGAAAAGGCAGGTAACTGCAACCCCTGACGAGCTTCAGAAGCCTTCTCACCATCACCAGTGTCTTCATCATCTTCAATCCCAGCCAATTTATCCAACCCATCAACTGAATCACTCAAGTACAATGGAAATTCTGGGGTAATTTTCACCATTCCACACCCAGTACTCCCAGACTGATTTTGAAGGCTTGCCATAACTGACTTCTTGATCAGAAGACAACCAAAACCTGTGGGATCATACCCAAATACCCTGTAAAACGATGTAATTATAAAATCTGGCCGGAACAGAGACAAGCCAAGCGAATCCATGTCCTTGGGGCCCAACGATCCAGCATCAAGCAAGACATGCCAATTGTTCTGCTGTGCTAGTGCCATCCACTGGTACGAATACTTAGCCCCAGTAACTCTTGACTGAACCGGGAACACAAAAAGACCAACAGCAGAATCCTTCTTCCTCCTCTTCTTGTTGGAAATCTGTTTCCTCAAATCAGTGGAGCACAGTTTTAGAGTCGGCCACTTAAACCACGCACTGTATACCTTGGCACCTTTCTCCCTAGCACTCTGAGCCATCCAAGCCACAGACTGACTCTCATGGTCAAACATGGTCAACAACTTTTTGTTTGTATGAAAGGGGTAAGACTCAGCCAGCAACTTAAAAGCAGATCCCCTACTGACAGTAAAAACAAGTCCATATTCATTCTCAGGGATATTCAAATACTCCATAATCCTACTCTTTACATCATGCTCAACAGTCCCTCTCTCAGCACCACCATAAAGTGCATGGTTAGTCAAATTAGCAGTTATCTCAGACAAGCTAAAGGTACAAGACTCCCAATAGTGAATGGTCTGAACAAAAGAGAAGAGTCCAAATCCACAGTAATCAAGACATACCTTGGGGGACAAATGTGAATACTCATCAGACCTTAACTGATCCACCTTCTCCGAGGACTGATACTTTGGGTACATTGTGAGAAATTTGGAGAAAGCTTCTTGGAGGCTGGGAATTGCATCCTCGGATTCATATATTCGCTCAGCAGCAAGTGCAGTAGCTCGAAGGAACTCGCGCTGAGCATGAAGCCTGGCCAGTGACCGGGATCTCCCTAGACCCTCTTCTTCCTCTTTGCTCACTGTTTCAATGTCCTGAGACTTGAACAGTGACCCATCTTCCGAAGCTTCTTCAAGAGCTTCCCTCAGTTTGTTCTCTTGCAGCTTCCGCAGAATTGATGGGTTTCTCCTTGCCTCCACCTTAGAGGAAGATTCATCTTTTTTTCTGCTCTTCTTGTCCATGATCAGAGCAGCGCACTGAGAAATAGGCTTCCATAGTGAAAGATGCATGATACCTCAATTCCAACCAATCTCACACAAACTAGACTCTTCTGTTTTGCTTAGCCCATGTACCTATGTATCTACACCCCCAAGAACCAGAAGAATCTACAAGAAACCCGATCGTTGAAAGACTTCAACTTTGGATTCCTCAAGGGACTCAATTCAAGAGAATCAGAACCTCTCCCAAAAAACGGGTCACTCAGGTGAAAACAAACAAAGAAGGAAATTTTTGCACAACCCAGAATGAATTGAAAAGGAAACAGAGAGATAAAAGATGGAAGAAATCCAAGGAAGAAAGAAAAAGTCAAAGGCTCAAACCCTAGAATCCAGATCCCAAAAATTTCAGAGTAACTTCCCAAAGCTACAAGAAACTCCAAAAATACCTTAAAAAACACTGAATGTTGGGGGAAAAAATGGGTTTAAAGACTTTATAGGAGAATTAACAGCTAATGGAAACTTTAAACCTTGATCAATAGAAACAGAAACCTCATAAAACAACATGAATAGTCTCCTCAAAGATGAAAGACCCTCTCTTTCTTTCTCTCTCTCTCTTCACTGCAGCGTAATTAAAGACATGGAATGCTCTTTCACTCGAGAGGAGTAAAACCAGACATACGGTATTGAATCACTGTACGAATTCTTGTCAAATTGAAAACGAGAAAGAGAATAAAGATACAGAACAAAAGAAAAAGAAAAAAGAAAAAAGAGGAGAGAATTCAGAATAACTCTCTCTCTCTCTGACCCTGCCTCCACGATCTTTAATTTTTATTTTTTTTCTCACTAAAAGAGAGGCTTAAGAAACAGGAAGAAAGGACATTGACTCTCACAAAAACCAATTTGTTAATAACTTAATGATGTGTTATGTTATTAAAATGATATATCGAATTTCAATCACTCCATCGAGTAACATTAATTTTATTAATATATTAATCTGAGTGAGATATGTAAAAATAAATTTGAATTTAAGTATTATTTTAAAAAAATGTGAGATTAATTTTATAATTTAAAAATAATAAAGTCTTCCATTATTTTAGAATTGATGTTGGAGTGGGGGACCCACAAGAGCCTTTCCCTTGGTGCAGTTATGGCTCCAAGTCAAACAATAAGCTGGTTTGTAAAAGCTGTTTTCTGTCCAACTGTTACTCTAGCTCAAATAAAATCTTCTATTTCCCAATCTCAAATAAAACCAGATTAAACATCGGTTGAAACCGTTACTGTCATTTCCTTAAATTTCACAGATCTCGTGTTTTCTTTTGTAACACAGTAGGTTCATGTCCTTGAGTTTTCGTTAAAATAAAAGTTTAATAAACGTTTAAACTAATGCGAATTTTTTTTATCTTTACTTTTGCATATGCGTAATGGGCTTTTAATGAATAATTAAATATGCTATGAAGAATTCATATACAATTATTTATAATAATTGAATATATTAAAATTTTATAAAAACTGTTAATTTTAAGACTTGCCCACCCACAATTAGATTAGATACATGCTATGATATTCTCTCGTGCAACAAATGAAACATTATACTATAGTTTTGATAAAGCATCTATTCTCCCAGCCCCTCAAAATATCTTTGATCCAGATGCTTAGAAGCTCATGGTGAGGATTATAAAATTAGCCAATTTCCTCGTGTCAGTGCCTTGTGCTTGAGGATTTTGTTTCGTGAACCCAATTCAATAATCTTTCGCTCATCGGTGTTTTGGATGGGAGAAACGACAAACAGAGAAGGAGATTATTAAAAGGAGATTGTAGAAATGTATTGTGATATTTGGTGTGGTCAACTCCAGCAAGAGGATCAAAGTGGATCAAACCGATAAATTGACAATTTTAAAAAGTAAGACATGCCTTCCTAGTTTTCAATCAAGGGTAGGTTTGTTTTGTTATGACGTTTATCTCCATATATATTAATTATAACAAATAAACTATGCAGTAACAAAGTCATAACCTTGGAATTTCTTACAGACCCAAATTCTGACGATTTCCATTTCATTTCATCAAAATAGGTAAAGACCAAAGCCACGGCAGCACTAGCGTTAAGAGCCATGCGTTACTGCGTAAATGGAAATAATAAAAAGCTCATAGGATTCAAGTGGGCTCCCTAATGCAGCTATGATGAGCCAACTACTTAACATTCACCAACAGTGCTTATTTAATGCAGTTGTTGATTTTTTATTAAAGAATTTATGTTTGATGTGCGGGTGACTAAATGTTCGGACATCTTCTAAAGTGCAAAAACATCACTTTCCTTATTTTAAAATAAAAAATAATATTTGTGTCTTATATATATGACACACTTTCAAATTATAATATACTTTTTAAAAAAAACTTTTTATTATGCCAATTTAAAAAGTTTTTTTATGGATAAATTTTTTTTGTATTTATACACATACTCAAATTTAAAATTTCATTTAAGCGATATTAAACAGTTTGATACTTGAATTAATTTATAATGGTAGAAAAAAAATTTAATTATTAAATGTTTCAATAAAAAAAACATTTATTTTGTAAGCTATATTATGTAGAACTTGTAAAATATTTTAAAAATTTCTAAATCACAGCATGACATGCGGTATATAGTTTACCCAGCTAATTTTAGTTGGTATATATTGTTTATTACGTGATGGGTACATTATTCAAATTAAATGATGATTGCTTGTTGACTCTGTTAAACTCATGAAAATCTTAAACATCAAAATTTTAATCGGTCTCTGACTTACCAATATTGACTTTTATTAATTCTTCATGAAAGTACGACTATCCTTATTTACTTCTCTTTAACTTTGCAAATTATCAAAACTGTTTTTTTATAAGAACGAGAGAAATTATCACTAATAAATGTATAATTTTTACAAATGTCATGTATATTTACATATAAAATGTTTGTGCTAAGGAATTTCTTTAACTGTCAAGTTCCCATTAAAATTAAACGAGGATGGTATCAAATTTCTGTATTATTTGATTCAAAGTACCAAAGTAGCCTATAAATTCCTGGGATCTGATATAATCATTTTAACCTCTAATTTTATTTTTTTCTTTAAAGAAATTCATTGTTTATTCAGAACTTGGAGGGGAAGAAGCAGTATTTATCGAGGCACAACCATTAACCACGCAGTCTTGGAGTTAGGACATCCATATTTAAGAGGTTAGGTAAAGTGGGCACTCCTTTCCCCGCAAACTAACAATATTTTGCAAATGCTTCAATTCACAAGTTTAGGTCCACAGCTCGAAAGAGAGTAAGTGATAAAAGAGATTTTTATATACCGTGGCAATGAAAACTACCAAAAAATGGGAAATATACTAATAACGGAGATAGAGAACAGAATGTAAAAGTTGAGGCACTTTTCTTTTTAAGTTTATGATCACTTTTTGTCTGTATAAAGTAAAGGCACCCACAAAACATGCATGGCTGCCAGAACAGAGGTCTTTACACTATGCAATGATTCAGTGAAAGGATTGATTCACTATGAATATTATTGGGATCCTACTAGGATACTTGTATATGCTTTGAGTGCATTTGGTCATAATGTAAAGATTATTACGGGATAGTTTATGCCCATTAGCATTACATATGATGCCTTTCATTCAATAGGTTTAAAGTTATATGCACACAATAATGAGGAACAAGACATATGCGCAAACAACGGATACCAAGTTACAAATGTATGGAATTTTTTATTACTAATCACTTGTGGTTTCATGATATGCATGGGTCCTCAATGTTACAGTTCCTTTTCATCTATCAAAAATATTGCCATGCAAATTAAAAGAAAACTTAACAGAAATTTTCGCAATTGAGACTATAAGGTTTGGCAAGCCGTGCGTAACTAAAAATTTATAGTCACTTTAATTTTGCTGATCATCAATCATAAAACCCCTGTTTTAGCTGATACTGTTGTTCTTTAATTAAATAAGTCTTGCCAATGAAAGTATATTAAAAACTTTTAAAAGGAGTGAACTTAACTTTTTATATTGTAATTATTTTTTTATAATTCTACTGCATACCCACCAAACCCAATCTTAATTTACTTTAATAAGTGGTAAGCAAGCCCTTTACTTTACTCTCTTGGTCTTGGATTCCTTTCTCAATGGCCGTGCGCAAAACCCTAGAAGCCAAACTGATAAAGAAAAAGAGCATTTGACGACATTACAGATTTTAACTTTTCTATTTTATTGGGTTTGAAGGAACAAATTGACTAATGGACTAGCAAATGTATCATTCAAGAATAAAGTGCTATTCTTTTTCTTGTCAAATGAGCGAGGAAAAAGATTACACAATAGTTCAATATTATAACATACAGTGTTTAAATCAACTTCTTCCTATTCTTGAAATAACTTGCCGCTAAATGTGGTTCTTCCGACTTGCTTATAGGATTTGAATCCTCGAGCAACACTTCAGAAATTTAAAGGGTAAAACTGTAATCGTTGAAAAAAAAAATTATTACAGTTATAACAAATATTTATAATAAACAATGAAATTATTGAAATTTTAATTGTTATTCTTTAATTGAATTATTTTAATTAATTTATAGAGATTGCGATCGTTATCTCTAAACCTTACCCCTAATTCTCATGATTCCAGTCTAATATTATATTTTATTACCCTCTCTCCACTACTTGGTTATTTAGAAACTCATTCTACATAAAAAATGATTCCCTACACTGATATTATTACTAGAGAATATCCTGACCATTGAAAAAATTAAACTTTTTATTTTAAAAATAATAAATACATAATGGATGGTTAAGCAACTTCCAGGCCAATAAATATGATGTTACCTTTTTTATACTAATGTTATTTTTTGCTTTATTTATTTTTTTAATCTCTCTCACTCCCTTTGAATATTTGCATTAACTGGTTTTTTTTTTATAAAAAAAAACTTTTAACTCAAGGATTTTTCTTAAAATAATTTACATAAGTTATATATAGCTAGTCCATAGAAGATTTTGTACAATTTATGACAGTTAATATGGTTTTTCAAGCGTTCAAAATTCGCCTTGGTCAAAATCACGAGAGAAAGAGTGTTGTATCATAAGTCTTGGCATGCATTATAAGAAATCAGACTTTAATGGCAGCGTCTTTGTTCATTAAATAGGTAGAACAGATAGAACTAACCAAACCAAAGATGACCTAATTGTGAAGCATATGTATATACGTCTACGGCACACCCACTCTATCCGAACCCAACCCCACCTCTGAAAATTGGGAAAAAGAAACAGAAAGGTTTGAATGTCTCAAATGAATAGAAGAAAAGGGCTTGGCTGAATGGGGGATGGGGCCTCACTTGGCATCAACTTAGTGCATTTGTGTGGTGTCGAAGTTCATGTACACAGAGGTATAATCATGCACTTTAGACCATGATCCCAACTTTTTCAAAGGAGGGAACTAAGGGAACTTCATTTGACAATTGAAAGTAATGAGTAGAGGATGTTCTTTATCTGCCCATTATATTATGCCTTTTCTTAATTTCATGGCTGCCTTTTCTTTTTCTTTTTCTTTTTCTTTTTCTTTTTTCACTGTTGCACTATGTTCCAATGATCACTAAGTAATGTTCCTATCCATTATATGTGTAATTGTTGGATTCCTTTGTGTCTTCTCTTCACTATTGCATTGCTAATCTCAGCATCGTGATTATTTGGGGGAGGGTGTTATTATTAAATCACTAATAGTTTACCGGATATGTATTCACATTCAATAGTTGAAGTTAGTACACGAAAATGTAGAAA